TCACCCAACCATCATCCACCTGCCCATCATCTCTCTATCCACCATCCATCCACCATCTCTATCCATCCATCATCCATCACTTCTCCATCACCCATCACCTGTCCATCATCTCTAGCCATCCATCTTTAATTCATCATCCATCTCTCTATTCATCATCCACCCACTCAGCCATGATCCACCCACCTGTCTATTATCTCTTTATTCTATCCATCCACATATCCACCCATCACCCACCCATTTTCCACCACCCATCCATCACCTATACAAACATCCATTCATCCACCATCTATCCATCCATCTACTCAGTAACCTAGCCCTTATTATCCATTCATCCATCATCCATCCACCTGTCCATCATCTCTCTATCCATCCAGCAGCTACCCACCCACCTATTCATCCAGCCACTCTGTTTCAGAGTAGGTCAAGCAAGGACAGATGAAGCAATGAGAGACTGATCAGAAAGGAGGGTCTTGGGCCATGAACGCAGTAAAGCACCAGGCAAGCACCAAGCACTAAGCAAAACCTCAATGTGTTGCTGTGTGCCTCACATCATTGCCACGTGCACCTTGATGCCGTGTGGCCAACACTGTGCACCCTTGCACATGGCCACACACAGTGAGATCCGCACCTAGATGGCTTGTAACCAGCTTGTAACCAGACCAGCTTGTGTCTGGCTGCTGGGATTGAGCTACCTGGAGCTGGTCCCCTTCCCAGCACATGTGCATCAGCTGCTTTTGCACATCCAGGAGACATAACCCAGGAGGGTCAGCAGGCAGCTCTGGCTCCACAATTCCTTCCCGGGCCCAGGCTCTGTCCTCTAGGATCCAGAGGACAAGAACTAGAGACCAGAGTTTTCTGCAGGAGGAACGCAGACACACACATCAGGAGGCCTCAGGCACACACCACCCCTTGGGGCCCACGAGGATGGCCCCGAAAGAGACTTAGCCACTCTTGAGCTGCAAGCAGGGTCTTCTCACACAACCCTGCACCTCCACTCTCAGCTGGGCACCACCGGGGGCTTCCTCCAAGATTGCAAGCTTTCTGTCTCTCTTCCCCTTCTTCTGTCTTTATCTCCCCTCTCTCCCTCTTCTCTCTCCCCCTCTTCTCTCTTCTCTTTTGCCGCCACCCTTGCTTCTCTCCCCTCTCCCTCCCTCTGTGTCCCCCTTCCCTAGTATATCTGTGGTTGAGCTTGTAAGAAGCTGGTGTCAAGGACCCAGCATGGTGACCTAGCAGCTAAATCTTCAGTTTGTAACCACCAGAATTCCATGTGGGCACCAGTTCATGTCCTGGCAGCTCCACTTCCCCTCCTGCTCCCTATCTATGACCTGGAGAGGCGGTGGAGGATGGCCCAAACCCTTGGGACTCTGCATCTGCATGGGAGATCCAGAGGAATCTCCTGGCTCCTGGCTTCAGATTGGCTCAGCTCCAGCCATTGTGGCTGCTTCAGGGAGTGAACCAGTGGATGGAGGACCTTCCTCTCTGTCTTTCCTTCTTTCTGTAGATCTGCCTTTCCAATTAAAAAAAATTAAATAAATCTTTATATATACATATATTAAAAGAAGTTGCTCAAAGAGAAAGATGTGGAGCCCTGTTTGTTGGAGCATGTGGTAGGCACCCAGGGGAACAGGCCCATGTGAGGTAGCTGCTGAGCAAGTCTCAGAGCCCCCTCTGGGCTATGAGTTCGGGCCCTCAGGCTGTACTGGGCAGGGTAGGATGGGGGGTCTAGTGCCAGCTGTGCCCGGTCGGAAGGCACAGGTGAGCAATCAGGAGCATGCACACTTGCTTGTGTGAAGTCCATTCAACCCCAGCACATCTGAGGAGCTCATTTTGGCCCCTGACCCCATCCTTCCTCAACAGCCCTCTGTCCCTTTGGCTTCAAGGTTTGCTGGGGGCCTGATCCCACCTGGATACCCCTTTTCTCTGAACGTCCACCTGGCACAAGCCCGCCTGAGCTTGCTCTGTAGCCTGACCCCCAAAGGCAGCTTGGCCCAGTGCCTTGCTCTGATTCTGAGAGCTGGTAGGTCTCTCCAGGCTGAGGCGGGAATGCCCACAGAGTGGACAGCACGGCATGGACTTCCTGTCCCCTAGGAACTCATGTATGGCCATGGCCAAGGAAGAAGGAGGGTGGGCACTGGGAGCCACCTCCCCTTCCTCGTGCTGGATTCCAATAGTACTGCTTGTGCTGCTCGTGGGGGGTGCTCGGGACTGAGCCCCAGGGCTAGCTTTGGACCCTGCTCTGAGGCCAGATCACACTCCTCCTATACAGGCTGCAGGAATATGTGTCACTGTGGGTGTGTCATTGTTGGTGTGTCGCTAGTTGTTACTGTGGGTGTAACAATGTGAGTGTGTCATTGTGGGTGTTGCTGTGGCTATATCACTGTGGGTACGTCAACCTGGGTGTGATGGGCGTGACATTGTGGGTTATTGCTGTAGGTGTAACATTGTGGAGGTTTCACTATGGCTATATCACTGTGGGTGTGTTGTGGCTGTATCACTGTGGGTGTGACATTGTGGGTGTGTTGCTGTGGGAGTGTCACACAGTGGGTATGTCACTGTTGGTGTGACACTGGGTGTGGTACTGGGTGTGTTGCTGTGGGTGTGACATTGTTGGTATGTCACTGTGGGTGTGTCACACAATAGGTATGTCACTGTGGGTGTGATACTCTGGGTGTGATTGGTGTGTTGCTGTGGCTGTATCACTGTGGGTGTGTTGTGGCTGTATCACCACTGTGGGTGTGACGTTGTTGGTGTGTCACTGTGGGTGTGTGATTGGTGTGTTGCTGTGGGTGTTACACTCTGGGTGTGTTGTGGCTGTATCACCACTGTGGGTGTGACATTGTTGGTGTGTCACTGTGGGTGTGTGATTGGTGTGTTGCTGTGGGTGTGACATAGTGGATGTGTGTTGGAGGTACAGGTCAAGGGCATCACAAACAATCTATGGTCTACGCACTGGAAGCCCCATGCCTGTGTGCATCAAAGACCACTTGCTTGTCCACTCCTGGTTCCAGCCCGTTAAAGCAGAGGTTAGGGTGAGTGGACCACCAGGCTCCCGACAGAGATGAGGGGGTGGCCTTCAGGCAGCCTTGAGCTCACAGGCCTCCCTAGCAGTACACCCCCAGAGGTCCCGTCCACTAGGCAGAAATGTGTGAGGGACCAGCTGATTTCCAGCTGACCCCTGACTGCTAGGCTAGCACTTCCAAGCCCAGCAGTGTGAGGCCTGGCCCTCGTACTCAACAGATGGACACCAGGTTCCCCTGCAGCCCTTCCGGCTTGGGCACAGGTCCTGCATGAGGTTGCATGGACCTGTGTGGGTGTTCCAGTGTGTGCCAGCACCAGGCACCTGCCGTTCTGCAGGAAGCTCCCTGTGTGGGGGCCTGGGCCTGTACACACGTGTACACACACACACACACACACACACACACACACACACACACACGTGTCCTGGGGGCGGGGCACATCCATGCCAGCACACAGGTGTGCTGTCCCAGTCGCTCACACCCACAGCAGCTCAGGTAGCCACGCGGGATCCTGACGCCACACCTGTGGTCTCCTCTGCCCCTTTCTGCAGCCCCCACTGACTGATGGGAGAGGGGCTCGGAACAGGTCAAGGCTGGAGCAGCTCGGCCAGGGGCAGCGGCTCCCCCAGGACGTCTCGGGTCACTGTCTGCAGGCCGGCCCGCCGCCCGCGGTTATTTATGACCCTCCTCCCCCTCCCGGCGGCGGCTCCGGCGGCCAAGGGCTCCGAGCAGGGGGACCGCGAGCAGCGACCGCCGCAAGACCGGCAGGCGGGGCGGGGCCTGCGCCGCAGAGGAGGGCCGGCCCCGGTGTCCAGGGCCCGGCTTCCAGTCCCTGGAACCGCGGACAGAGTGGCTCAGGGGTGCGGGGGGCGGTCACGACCCGGCGGATCAGCCCCCAGCCTCTGCTGGGGAGTAGCGTGTGGTGGGAGAGGTAACCCTGCAGGTAGAGGGCAGTGGTCCCCGGGCCGTGCCACTGTGCACAGGAGGGCTGCCCGAGGGCGGTGGTCCCCGGGCCGTGCACCCAGGGTGGCTGTCCACACGGAGGGCTGCCCGAGGGCGGTGGTCCCCGGGCCGTGCACCCAGGGTGGCTGTCCACACGGAGGGCTGCCCGTGGGCAGTGGTCCCCGGGCCGTGCACCCAGGGTGGCTGTCCACACGGAGGGCTGCCCGAAGGCGGTGGTCCCCGGGCCGTGCACCCAGGGTGGCTGTCCACACGGAGGGCTGCCCGAGGGCGGTGGTCCCCGGGCCGTGCCGCTGTGCACAGGAGGGCTGCCCGAGGGCGGTGGTCCCCGGGCCATGGACACATGGTGGCTGTCCACACGGAGGGCTGCCCGAGGGCGGTGGTCCCCGGGCCGTGCACCCAGGGTGGCTGTGCACAGGAGGGCTGCCCGAGGGCGGTGGTCCCCGGGCCGTGGACACATGGTGGACACTCACGGGTGGCCTCCTGGCAGTGGTTGGCAAGGCGTGCGGCCACTGCTGGGGTCACATCTGCGGGGCCCGTCCGCAGCGGCCGCCCTGGCCTCTGAGACGCGCCCCACGACGCTGGCCACCAGGGCCCGGCCGCGCGCTCGGCCGTCTCGCGCCCCCCGCCGGCGCCCGCGCCCGCCCGCAGCGCCGGGGCCGTTTAAATGGGCCAAGTTGTGGCGGCGGCGGCGGCGGCGGCGGAGTCTCCAAGTCCCCGCCGGGCGGGCGCGCGCCAGTGCACGCGGGGGCGCGGCGGGGCGGGGGCGCGGGAGCCCCCCGAGCGGGGCGGGAGCGGGGCCGGCGACTCGGCGACTCTTCACGGCCGGGCTCCGCCGGGCGCAGGACCCCGCGCGTCCCCGCGGTGCCCCCCGATGCTGCCCGGGCCCCGCCGGCCCGCCGAGCGGCAGCGCGGGGCGCGGTAGCGGGCAGGGTGTGGGTCTGCGTCCCCGGCCGCGGCCACCCAACTCCAGCCCGGACCGCGGCAAGTTGCGCCGGCCGCGCGGAGCCGGGGCTTCGGGCCATGCCGGCGGTCAAGAGGGAGCTCCCGGGCCGCGAGGACCTCGCGCTGGCCCTGGCCGCCTTCCACCCCGCCCTGGCCGCGCTGCCATTGCCGCCGCTGCCCAGCTACCTGGCGCCGCTGCCCGGCGCGGCGGCCCTGCCCCCGGCCGCGTCCCTGCCCGCCGCGGCTGCGGGCTACGAGGCGCTGCTGGCGCCGCCGCTCCGCCCCCCGCGCGCCTACCTCAGCCTGCACGAGGCCGCCCCGCGCCTCCACCTACCCCGGGACCCGCTGGCCGTCGAGCGCCTCTCGGCCCCCTCGGCGGCCGTGCCGCCGGACTTCCAGCCGCTGCTGGACCACGGGGAGCCGTGCATCGAGGTGGAGTGCGGCGCCAACCGCGCGCTGCTCTACGTGCGCAGACTCTGCCAGGGCAGCAAGGGCCCGTCCATCCGCCACCGCGGCGAGTGGCTCACGCCCAACGAGTTCCAGTTCGTGAGCGGCCGCGAGACGGCCAAGGACTGGAAGCGCAGCATCCGCCACAAAGGTGCGGGGAGGGCGCGGGCGACGGCCGCCTTTCTCTTTCTCGGTCTTCCTGTCCGTCTTTCTCTGTCTCGCTTGCTCGCGCTCTCCATCCCTCTCCCTCCCCCCTGGGCACCCGCGGCTTCGGATCCCGTCGCTCCACCACCTGGGAGCCTCGGCCGCGACCCGGAGGGGGCGCTGCGACCCCAGGACTGGACGCAGGGACACCCCGGCCGCGCCCTCGTCGGGCTGCCCGGGGGCACGCGGGCAGAGCGCCCCGGGTCTGCGGGTTAGCTGCGGGCGCGCCGGCCTCTCCGCTGCTTTTTCTCGGCGAGATTCCGGGGCCTGGAGGCCCAGAGCAAGTTCACAGGAATTCGGGGAGCGGGCGGGAGCCTCGCCGGGCGCAGAGCCACGGGCTCGGGCGGGAACCACGGGGTGCAAGTTGCGGCCCCGGCGCGCGAGCAGGTGGGGGTGGCGGGGCGCACTCGGAGCCGGCGCTGCCCCTGCGCGCCTGAGGGCGCTTGGTTCCAGAGAGTGACCTGGAGGCGCTGGAGACGCGCCGTGGGGGAGTTGGAAAGTTAGGGACCCGGTGGCTTTGGGTTGAGCGCTCACGGTCCCGCCGCCGCGGGGACAAACATCCTGGTCCTTAAGACCGGGCTCACCTGCTCCAGAACCCGGTTCCCGGTTCCCGCGGAACCGACTGGGAGAGGGTGGAGCGTGGGGGGAGGAGCGCGAGGGCGTGGAGGAGGCCACCCCTAGCCCAGCACTTGAGTTTCAGAGCCTCGTTCCAGGCAGGGTGGTGCGGGCGGCGGCTCCAAAGTTGGACGCAGGCGGAGTGGCTGGGTGAGTCTCACGCGGTGGCGCCCGCGCGAGGTGAAAGGATCCGCGTGGCTCTTGTCCCAGGAAAAAGTCTGAAGACGCTGATGTCCAAGGGCATCCTGCAGGTGCACCCCCCCATCTGTGACTGCCCGGGCTGCCGCATCTCTTCCCCGGTGGTGAGTGGCAGGCGGTCACCCCACTTTGGTGTGCGGGGGAGGGAGGTAGGGAGGAAGTCCGGGTGGGGCCTGGGCTGGGCCTTGTGCTCAGTCAGACGCTGTACTGGGGGGTGGGGGCCTTGGGGCAGCTTCACCGCCTGTCCTGGCAGCAGTTCCGGGTTCTCCAGCTTCTCCCTGGGTGATATCCGGAGTGGTTGCCACAAGCTGGTTCTGGGCTGTGCCTGTTGAGTGCCCGAGTTTGCATTCCGGGTGGTGCCAGGATCGCTGTGAGTGTGTCTGGGTGCTGGGGTCCTACCCTGCACCTGTAGTGCTGCGGACACAACTGGATTCAGATGCAATGCAAGGCAGACTGTGTGGCCAGCGGGCTGGGAAGCAGGTGAGACTGCGCAGGTGGCTCTGAAGAGTGTTCTAGGGAGCACCCATTTAGAGCCCCCTCCCGGGAGGCGGGCAGCACTGTGCCTTCTCAGGAAGGGTAGAAGAGGAGGCAGGGGACAAGGTGGGCCAAACAGGACCCAGGAGAGCAGGTGGCCTGGGCAGGCTGGGCAGCCACAGGACTGAGAAGGCAGACGCACAGCATGTGAGTCAGGCGTGGCCACCCACACAGGTGACATGGGCTATCACATATACAGTTTGACATGGCTAGCCATGTGCAGTTTAATACAGGCTAACACATAAACACATGGTCTGACATAGGCTAGCCATGTGCAGTTTAATACAGGCTAACACATAAACACATGGTCTGACATAGGCTAGCATACCCCATTTCCACACTGTGTTCAACAGCTGGTGTTGGGGAACGGTTCTGCCGTACCCCTCCCTCCCCAGGCTGGAGAAGCTCCACAGGCACTTTAGGGGTCTCTGCTCAGCTTTGCACCTCCCAGGGTGTTGGCCTGGGTCTTGTACTCACTCAGCTGTCTGCTGTCTCTTCATTCAGTACCACAGAGTGATGAGCTGCGTGGAGGTCCCAGGCTGGGTCCAGGACAGACCGTAGGAACTTTCCAGCAGCAATAGAGGCACAGCTGAAGCTGCACCCTGGCCTGCCTGTGCCCTGGCCACCCAGTGGGACCCCCTTGAGCTACAGGCTCAGACTGCACCAGAACTGCTTGTTCCAACCCACCCAGCATGGCTGAGGGGAGGACTCAGTGTTCATGGGGAGACCCAGTTCACAGGCTTCCAAGTTCACAGGCCCTTGGTCGGGTGGAGGCAGGGCTCCCAGACAACCCTTCCTCAGGCCCGTGGATGTGGTGAGGAGGGCAGCCAAGCCTGGACGGGGTTTGAGTGCCTTCCTGAGTTGGCATTGTGCCAGGAAACACAAGACCTTGTCCTGTACACTGGGAGACCCCAACATTTTCTCCCAGAGGTAGTGGAACTCACAGATGCTAAAACAGCATAGGAGCATGGCCAGAAGATACCCCAGTCCTCCACACCCACACAGGCACCCCAGTCCACTATTCCCACACAAGACACTAGCCACCTGAACCCACACAGGAAGTCAGGCCATTTACACCACGCAGGACCCTAGCTGTCTATACCTACATAGGCACGCCAGGCATCTAATCCCAACGGGTACCCCTGCCGCCTGCACACACACAGACACCCTTGCCATCTACACTCACAGTGCATCAAGAGGACAGGGGCCCAGGAGCTGGGCTGGACAGTGACCCCAGGGACCCAGCCCTGTGACTGGCAAAGACCCAACAGGTCCAGTCAGAAGCTGGAGCAGGCCTGGTGCCCTGAGCTGGGCTCTGCAGCTTTGCCCACACAGATGTTCCCACAGGATGCGGTGGACAGCAGTCAGGCCCTCATCGGCACCTTTGAGGGCTGACGGACGTCCTTCAGGACCGACCCCCAGGGCTCCCTAAGCCTGGAGGCGGGGTGCCACTCACGGGGGCTGTGGAGAGGAAGTGGGATGGAGTCTTCCGGGGCCCATCCAGGGTCAGGGGTACAGGTCAGGCCATGTGAAGAAGGGCCGTGACAGATGTGCCATCCCTGGGCTGGCTTTGGTCTCTCCGAGCCCCTTCTACAGTGGGTAGGGTGGAGGAACAGGAGTTGTGGCAGTGCCTACGTGTTCTCGGGTTGCCCCAAAGGGCTGCTGCACACCTATGCCCTGCCAGAGAGGGAGGGGACAGCCTGGGGTGTAGAGCCACCTACCTCTCCCCTCACCAGAACCGGGGACGGCTGGCAGACAAGAGGACAGCCGCTCTAACGCCAACACGGGTCCTCAAAAAAGAGCGGAACCCCAGCTTCTCTGCCAGCGACGGGGACAGTGATGGCAGTGGCCCGGCCTGTGGGCGTCGGCCAGGCTTGAAGCAGGAAGATGACCCCCATGTCCATATCATGAAGAGAAGGTATTTGCACCCACTCAGCGGAGTCCAGAGGGCTCAGGCCTGCCCACTGCTGCCCTTATTTAGGGTCTTCTCTCTGGGGTTCTGCTGGGGTGCATGGCTGCTATTTGTGTCCCCTCCCTCCTCTGGGCAGCGGTCACCTATGGGGGCCAGGGAGCTGCACACCGCTGGCTGATGTCAGGATCTTGGGATCACTGTAACTGGCCTGGCCAGAGCAGACCAGCAGCCAGGAATTCTGAGTGCAGCAGGGGGAACATGCAGCCCCACCTTAGCAGGGCTCAGCGCTGCTCTGAGCTGAGGCGGGGAGGGGAGGGGGAGTGGCCACAGCACCCAGGGCCTTCCTTCACCGCCCTGGACTGCCAGCCCAGCAGGAAGCCAGAGACAGGCCTGTCTACGCCCAGTCTGGGCATCAGCCCTGCAGCCTGCACTGCCCAGGTGCCCACACTGAGCTGCTGCTCTTCCGGCAGAGTCCACACACACTGGGACGTGAACATCTCCTTCCGAGAGACCTCCTGCAGGTAGGAGTGCCGCCCTGCTGGGCAGCTGAGCCCTTGCCAGTTTTGGGTGTGCTGGACACCAAGGTGCTTTGGGTGCAGTGCCACACCCTGAAGCAGGACCACAGGCCCCTTCCCAGGTGGGCCTGGCCACTTCAGCCTAGTCACTTGATATGACTGTGTCTCCCTCTCCTGCCCTCACAGACACCCTCCCAAGGTCAGGGCAGGGATGTGTGAAGGACGGGAGGCTGTCAGCTGAGCTGTGGGGAACAAGGGCAGGGACGTGGCCAGGCAGAAGAGGAGCTCCAGGGCCCTGGGCGCTGACTCCGTTGGACGTTGCTGTCCACTGGAAGTTCTTCAGCAACAGAATGACCTCGCAGCTGTGTTTAGAAAAAGTCCTTTTGGAGAAGCTGGGCAAGGGGTAGGGTCCTGGCTCAGAGGGCAGGGTTGGTCAGTCCACAGGCAGCTCAGCCATGGCCTTTGGTCAGCAAGGCCCTGTTTCTCTATGGGGACACAAGAAGTACCCGTGGGCAGGTGGAAGGCATCTGGCAGCAGGGCTGTGGGAGGCCAGCCCTGCTTGGCATCTGCTGCACTCAGGTGGTGCTGCTCCTGGCTGCCTGGGTCCTGGAACCACACTGCAATGCAAGCATCTTCACAGGAACTTTCCCGTTTTGGAGTTGCCAGCTCCATTGATGATGTGTGTGAGCTGTCATGAGCACTGATGATACTCTGTGGGCCTTTCCCAAGGGGTGCTGCCACCCGACTGACGGCAGGGAAGGCCATGCAGATGCTGACGGGCACAGCAGGGTCTGTGGCCGCCAGCATGACCATGGAGAGGGGTGAGGGGGGCGTGAGCTGGTGCTGCCCCCTCTCTGGCTGGCTTTGCAAGGGGCCTGCCTACACCCCTGGTCACAGGGTCTGGGCAAGGGCTAGACATCAGGCTGTGGGAGCCAGGGTGAGGAAGTGCCATAGACAAGAGTCTCTGTCCCTTCTTCCACCTCTCCAACTGTCCATCCCCCCAACTCTCCCTCTACCACCTGCTGCACAGTACCCTCCAGCCCCTGTGTGCTTCGGGCATGGGTGGTTTCATTGCTGCGAGACCCTTACCTTATGGTGGTCCCAGAGAGCTCTCCATCTCACCTGCTCACTCCAATGCCTGTAACAGCCAGGACTGGGCCAGGGCCAAGCTGAGTCTCCCCGTGGCTGATTGGCCTAAGGACGTGGGCCACTGCTGCTGCCTTCCCAGGGTGCATAGCATCAGGAGACCAGCATCAGCTGGCACGGGTACCCCACCCAACACCAACCCATCTGTAGTTCTTTGAGCGAAGCCAACAGTTTGATCCCTGAGTGACTGGGTGACCAAGGCAGCACACAAACTCCAAGGCAGAAGCCAAGGATGTGGAGGACGCCATCACCTTCCAAGGCTCCTTCCCAGTAAGGGGATGAGCCTGTGGTGGCCACAGTGGGACAGAGGGGATGAGAGAGTAGACTGCCTTGGCCAATTCATATTCATGTCCTACAGACATTAAGGATGGCAGAGAGGGCTTCTGAGAGGGTCTTTTTTTTTTTTAAGATTTATTTATTATTATGTTATTGGAAAGGCAGATGTACAGAGAGGAGAGACAGAGAGGAAGATCTTCCATCCGATGATTCACTCCCCAAGTGAGCGCAACGTGTCGATACTATGCCGATCCGAAGCCAGGAGCCTCTTCCAGGTCTCCCATGCGGGTGCAGGTTCCCAAAGCTTTGGGCCGTCCTCGACTGCTTTCCCAGGCCACAAGCAGGGAGCTGGAAGGGAAGCGGGGCTGCCGGGATTAGAACCGGCGCCCATATGGGATCCCGGGCGTGCAAGGCGAGGACCTTTAACCACTTGCGCCACCGCGCCGGGCCCCTGGGAGGGTCTTTAGTGGCTCTGGCCCTGATCCCAGGCCTGCCCTGGACAAGGCTGAGGGATGAGGCCAGGGCCGCTTAATCCCATAAAGGGCTTACCCTCAGGTGCCTCCAGCCTGCATAGGGGGAGAGTGTCCTCCGCAGGGGAGTGGAGGTGGGGAGTGCAGCTGGGTCCTGGGAGGCACTGGAGGAGTCGTTGGTGCTGAAACTGATCTGCTTAGGGACGGCCCTGGATTAGGCTGGCTTGGCAAGCCCCAGGCAAGGGTGGCTGGGAGCCGGGAGCTATTTAATGAGGTTTAGGGTCCATGTCCAGGTCACTGTCAGAGGCTCCAAAGGATATCAGCGTCGCTAAGGAGGCTGCTGGGGGACAGGTGGGCCAAGGCAGACACCTGCCAGCGGCTGCTTGAGTCCCTGCTGGCTGATCAAACCCCAAGAAGGAGGCCGGAGTGCAGCAACTGCCTACCCCTCCCATCTCAAGAGAATCCAGGGTCCAGCTGACTCAGCAGGAAGAAGAGAAACTGGGGAGAAAAGAGTTAAATGTGCATGAATTTCACATCCTGGCTGGTGGGGGGGCATACCACCTGAGCCCCCATCTAGCTCCTGCAGGACCTCGGCCCAGCCTCAGAAGATGGAGGTCTGCCTGGCCAGGCCCAAGTGGTCTCAGAGCTGCTCTTCTCCCCTGCAGCCAAGACAGCAGCCTCCCCACCCTCATCTCCAGCGTGCACCATAGCCGCCACCTCGTGATGCCCGAGCATCAGAGCCGCTGTGACTTCCAGAGAGGCAGCCTGGAGCTCGGTCTGGGACCCGCAGGTGAGGGCCCCACGTCTCGTGGGCTAGTGCAAGAGCAGCCTGCCCTCCCTGTGTCTGCTCTGAATCTCCGGCCACCCTGGCTGGCTGCCAAGGAGGCTGACAGAGGCAATGGGAGGTGTGGGGCTGGCTGTCCCCTGGGGCTCCCTGTGATGGTAATTGTGTTAATCCGGGCCAGGCCAGCAGGACAGTGGCTGGGGTGGGCTTGGAGCTGCTGCCCTCTCCTTGCTGTCCCCCTCACCCCCCCCCCCCCGCAAAGGTTCAAGTGGGCAGGAGCCTTCCCCACACCCACCTCCAGGTAAAAGCCTGTTTGGTCTTTCCGCCCGGGAGGGGGTGCAGCCTGAGCCTGTGGGGGCTGGGCAGGACAAGTCCAGGAGCCCCAGCAGAGGCAGCTTCTAGGGAGCAACAGGGACTGGGAGGGGGGCACAGCTAAGCTTCCACTGAGGGACAGGGCATGGTGGAACTATGGCAGGACCCCTGAGCACCCCCACCAGGGTACTCCTGGGTGCTGGAAAGGTCTTTGTGGGTGGAGCCGTGTAGAGGCCGCTGAGCAGGCAGCTGATAAAATCTAATTGCCCCATCGATCGTGAGCCAGGAGAGCCACACATGATTGAGATATACTGAGCCGCAGGCTCCCCCCCCCCCGCCCCAAATCCCTGCAGCCTGTACACGTGGAGACCCACTCAGGTACACGAGGTACGCGAGTGTGTGTGCACACAGGCGTGTGGACCTGCTCCCACACGCTGCAAGGCTCACTGTGTGTCAAGGTGTTCCTGTGCTATGCGCATGTCACACATCACGCACCTGTGTGCCTCTACACGGATCACTCACCAGGTGCATGTCGCACACAGGCACACCCCCACCCATTATCCACCCTAGATACTTGTCACTGGACCACCGTTTGTTGGGCCCAGGGCTGGAAAGGTAGGACTGCTTGCCACCTCCATGTGTCTGCCGTGGGTGCATGGGTGCGTGCTGCTGGGCAGTGTGGCTCCCCTCGCCCCTATGCCACTTCTTCCAGCTACATCTGCCTCAGGTTTTCCAGGGACAGAGACAGGCAGGAAGCCCCCAGCCCCCAATGGAAAGAGAAGGAGAGGGGGATTTTCCGCTGTGGCAGACAGTGGAGCTGACCCTGAGGGTTGTGCGAATGTCCGAGTGTGGGAAGCCGGCATGAAGCACAGCCAAGCCTGCCACTCTATGGTGCCTGGAGCTGAGGGCCCACTTTGGCCTCCCCAGGGCCCCTGGGCAGCTCGGGTTCCCACCCACCAGCTGCTCCACCTGCCCTGAGCCATCACAGAGGCAAGGACCCCAGGACCAGGGCTGTGAGGGGCTGAGATCAATAAGTTATTAGCACCATTCTGTCAGCTGTAATGTGCAGATTGATTGGGCTCTCTACAGCGGCACTTCCCCGCCTGATAAAAATGACAGATTAAGGGAACACGAAGAGGAACCCATGGCAGGGCTGCCAGAGGGGGTCCAGTTTGCAAACCCCTGTGTGTGGGAGCCACGGTGGGCTTGGGCCACACGGGCAGCTGCTCTCCACAGCCCTCAGAGGGTTTGAGGTCTGGAGGCCAGCACTGGAGTCGTCCAGGGCTGAGCTGGGCACGGGTGGACGGACTCCAAGCTTGGTTCTGAACGTCAGGGGCGTGGCCTGGGACCTGAGGTGGGTTTATGTGGCTGTGCACACCAGGGCGGTTCAAGCTGAGGTTGCTCAGGCCCCCTCAGAAACTTGTTCAGCAAATGGGTAGGTGTGTGACAGCCAGGGGAAGTCCTGGCTGGCAGCCCTGGACAGAGGAGGGACCCAGAGAAGAAGGGCCTCTGGATGCAGGGAAAGAGTTAGGGTGTTTCCAACTCCCCACCTGACTCTTCTCCAGCAGCCCTGAAGAGAACTGAGTTTCCTGCGAGCCCTGGCTGGCCCACTACCTGAGCCCCCCAGGAATCTGGTTTCAGTGGCACCTAGGGTTGCCCGCTGTGCCAGGGCCCCGTGGGAGTCTGCTGTCATTCAGCCTCTCTCTGCCCTGCACAGGTGACCTGCTGGGCAAGAGGCTGGGCCGCTCCCCTCACATCAGCAGTGACTGCTCTTCTGAGAAGAAGGCCCGAGGCTCCTCCCCTCCAGGTGTGGGAGGGTCGGGATTGGGAGGGGGCAGGTGGCCAGCAGGGTGACAGGTGGTAAGAGGGGTGCCACTCACCCCTGCCTCCCCAGAGGCCCTGCTGCTGCCAGAGCTGGGGCCCAGCATGGCCCCGGAGGACCACTACCGCCGCCTCATGTCCGCCCTGAGCGAGGCTGGCGCCTGCGAGGACCCTCAGCGGTTCTACCACTTGGGTCTCCCCAGTCACGGTATGTGTCTCCCACCCCCGCAGAGGGTCCCTTATCCCCAACACCCCCCACCGCGTCCAGTCCGGAAGAGGCTCTGTGAGGCCACGGTGGAGGCTGTGCTCACCCGCTAGGGTCACGCCATAAGAGGACCCTGACCTTGACTGGGGGGAGGCAGGACGCCCCGCCGAGCGGGGGGCGTTGCCCTCGGGCCCCCATCCCGCATATCCTGCATGTTCGAGGCCTCACAGCCCTAGCTCCGTGCTGGGGGAAGGGGGGCTCTCTGGCTAGGTGGGGAGGGGGCAGAACTTCCTCTCCTTTCACGAGGCTCTGTCCCCCAGGGCAGCTCAGGCACCAAGAGCCTGAATAATTCACCAAATGTTAATAATTTAAAAATCTTCCTTTTTAATTGCTTTGCCTGCCCTGCCTGGGGCCGGCTCGCCGGGCTGCGCGGGGGAGGGGGCGCGGCCGCGGGGGAGCCGCGCGCAGGGCCGGCTGTCCATCACCGCCCGCGCCGCCGCCCCCGCCGCGGAGCCGGCTGTAAATAACCGCGGCCGCCGGGCGGGGGCCCCGCTGGGATCGATGCGGGCGGCCGCGCCGGCCGGGCTCCGCGGGCTGGCAGCCGGCCCGGGGCAGGACCCACCTCCGCTGCTCGGGTAATTAATTTATAAACAGGCGGCGGGGCTGGCGGGCGGGGGCTGCGCGCGCCGGTGCTGGGCCGCGGGTCCCACACGCCGGGTCCCCCAGGACTCAGCCGGGAGTCCTGGGCGCTCCGGGCTCGGCTCCCGGCAGGCCCGCCTCTGCACAACCCCTCTTGGGGCCGAGAGGGGCAGTCTAGCTCGGGATGCCCCATGCCCAACAGGCCGACCTGCTCCTTGGGACCCAGAGCGCCCCCCAACCCACGTTTTCTCTCGTTGGGGTCACTGCTGCTCCCCGCTCCCGCCCTCAGATCTCCTGAGAGTTCGGCAGGAGGTGGCCGCCGCAGCCCTGAGGACTCCCAGCGGCCTGGACGTCCACCTGCCTTCATCCCCCGCGGGCCAGCGCCGGAAGCAGGGCCTCGCTGCGCACCGGGAGGGCACCGCCCCCGCTGCTGCCCTGTCCTTCTCCGACAGGTACCGGGGTCGGGGCTGCAGCTGACCTCGACACCCCGCCAGCCACCGCCCCACTTTCCTCTGCTACTGCCCGGTCGCGCGGAACGGGCGAGGCAGGGGAATCCGCCGAATCTGGGCGCTGCGCCCCACCTCGCTGGGTGAGGCCGAGGGGGAGACTCCGGGACGGGACGGAGCAGCGCGGCTCGCAGTCTGGAAGCCCAGACGGGTCGGCCCCGAGGACTCTGGAGCTGGGGAAGGGAAGCCGCTGCAGCGGCAGACATGCTCCCGGGCTCATCCAGGCAGGAGACCCCCGGAGACGGAGGGCTCGGCCGGGCCTCAACCTCCTGCCGTCCCCCGGCCCGGCCGGCGGGGCCCAGGCGCTAATTACCGCTGCAGCCGCCGCCGCCCGCCGGGCCAGCGCCTCCGCGCCGCCGCCGAGATTAATTGGCGCCGCCGGCGGGGCGGGAGCGACCCGGAGCCGCCACGAGCCGCTCCGCCCGCCCGCGGGGCCGGCAATTAGCGGGGGCGGCGGGGGGCGGCGCGCGGCCGCTGACCGCCCCGCGTCCACAGGGAGCTGCCGCAGCCGCCCTGCTTGCTGTCACCCCAGAATGCCCCTCACATCGCCCTGGGCCCGCACCTCAGGCCCCCCTTTTTGGGGGTGCCCTCGGCTCTGTGCCAGAACGCAGGTGAGGAGCGCGCGTCCTGTGCGGGGAGGGGCTGGAGCCGAGGGGGCGCGGGGCGAGCTCCCACGCCGGGCGGCCTGTCCCCCTTGCCCCTAGGCTACGGCTTCCTGCCCCCCGCCCAGGCAGACGTGTTGGCGCGGCAGCAGGAGCTGCTACGGAAGCAAAGCCTGGCCAGGTAGGTACGGGCGGGCGGAGGGCTGGGGGTGCGGCCCGCCCCGTTGATCCCAACGCCGCCCTCTCGCCCAGGCTGGAGGTGTCCGCGGAACTGCTCCGGCACCAGGAGCTGGAGGGCGCGTCCCGGCCGGAGCTGCTGGCGTCCGAGGCCGCGCTGCGAACCCCGGAGGGCGCCGACGAGCTGCAGCGGCGCGGGGCGCTGCTGGTGCTGAAGCACAGCGCGGCGCCGCTGCTCGCCCTGCCCCCCCAGGGGCCCCCGGGCCCCGGGCCTCCCAGCCCCCCGCGGGAGCCCGTTCGTCGCGCCCCCCGGAAGGGAGGCTCGGGTCTCGGTGCTCCCAAGTCCAGCGAGCTCAAGGACGTCCCAGGGGCTAGACTCTGGGCTCAAGACGGGTCCGAGGATGAGCCCCCCAGGGACCCGGATGCGGAGGACTCGGAGGCCGCCAGCGCTCCGGGCTCCTCCGCCGGCCAGGCCGGAGCCGGAAGGATTGGCGCCGAGGGGAAAGGGCTGTTCTCAGGGTCAGCGCTGCCCTTGGGCTTCCCCTACCTCCACACAGGTGGGCAGCCCAGAGCTCCCCTGGGCCTTTCATAAAGGGAGCCAGTCTATCCGTGTCGGTGTTGAAGCAAGAGGGAGGGTGGCTGAGCCTGCCAGAGCCAGGAAACACTGCGTCCCCTCTCACAGGCGCCATGGGGAGCCTGTGTATGGATGGGGACGAGGCCACCACCTCTGAGGACGTCAGCAAGTGGACAGTGGAAGATGTGTGCAGCTTTGTCGAGGGCCTCTCTGGCTGCAGCGAGTATGCCAGGGTGAGGGGAACCCCGGGAACTGTTGAGATGGAGGGTGCCAGAGGTGCAGAAGCAGGCCACTAGGGTCAGTCCCTGGCCCCAGGGAGCCCCTCTTCTCTGGGCGATGACCCTGATCCCCTCCTCCTGCCCAGGTCTTCCGCGAGCAAGGGATCGATGGGGAGACCTTGCCACTGCTGACTGAGGAGCACCTGCTGACCACCATGGGGCTGAAGCTAGGCCCCGCCCTCAAGATCCGGGCACAGGTGAGTGTGGGGAGCCCAGGGCAGCCCCTCCTGGCTTCCCCGGCAGGATCCCCACTCAGGCCGTGTCTCCACAGGTGGCCCGGCGCCTGGGCAGACTCCTCTACATGGCCAGTTTCCCTGTGGCTCTGCCGCTGCAGCCACCAACCCTGCAGGGCCCGGAGCCAGAACTCCCCACCTCCCCAGCCACCACCTCTCCCCCTTACGGGGGTGCCCAGCCCCCTACTGGCCTTGCTTCCCCGAGGCAGGAGAATGGATCTGGAACCCTGGACCCTGCCCAGACCCTGTGCTGAGCAAACGGCAGGAGCTCCCCAGCTCCCCCTTCCCCAGCTTAATATTTCAGTTTTGAATGCAAAAAGACAAGCTTTTGTAAAAGGAAACAGCTTTTCCTAAGACCTCTCCAAGGTTGTTGCCTACAGATGAAGCAGCCAGGACTCAGGGTCAGCTCCCCGTGAGCCTCCTCTGCAGGGCTCCTGGGCCCTTGGTCTGTTGCACCAGGGGGAAGGCCTACCCAGGACCCTCAGTCTTCCTCCGAGAGCTGCAGTTCCTCCAGCTCATCTTCGGGCCCCTGGGCCAGCAGCCGCAGCTCCCCAGGGGCCAGCCCCGCCTCCACATCTGGGCCTCCATCTGCAGGGAGAACCGGCAGCATTAATCCTGCTGTATCGGGAAGTCAGTCTCCGAGGTTCCCCATCACTAATTAATCACGGCACTAATTAATTTATCCCTGCTGCTGCAAACACAGCAGCTGGCCTGGCCTCCCCTGGGAGGGCTGTGGGCTTGCCCTGTGTCTGCCCCTCCCAGCCGAGAGCAACTCACCCTCTGAGCTGCTCCCATCCTGGTCCTCGTCCTCCAAGCTGCCCTCTTCCTCGTCCTGCACAGCTCTCAGGGACACAGGTGACCCTGGGGACCAAAGACCGCATCCACGTGTGACTGACCACCCCAGAGCCAAAGGCAAAGTGAGGCAGAGGGGAGCAGGACAGCCTGGCACACCTGCTGCCCCACCTGTGTCTGCCAAGTCCTTCACATCCTCGTCATCGCTGTCCAGGTCAAAGAGCTCCTTGAATTCCACTCTGTCCTGCTCCTTCGTGTCCCCCACCTTGCGCCGTTTGATCTCGGGGAAGTTGAGCTCTTCCAGCTGCAGACAAGACCAGGGGAGCAGGCTGGAGGCAGGGCAGAGGCCCAGCCCAAACCTCAGTCCTGAACCAAGCAACATGGCAGAGTGGCCTGAGGTGGTCAGGCCCCAGAGCCTGCAGGGACCCCAGCCTTTCCCCAGCTGCCTGACCCTTCCCCAGTCTCAGGCCAGCTGAGGCCCCGCCAGGGAGGCCCTCCATACCCGCTCCTTGCCACTGATCTCCAGCTGGATCTCGCGGTCCCTCAGCTTGCGCCAGTGGCTATAGTACCTGCTGAGCGGGGTCCCCTCGTCCTGCATCTGCTTCTCCCAGGTATCCTGGGGCAGGGTGGGTCAGAGTCAGGCCCCAGCCATCCTTCAGGTAGCACCACCTCCCAGAGCCCAAGCCTGGCTCCCTACTGACCACTGCCTGGGAGCTGGACACGCCGAAGGGGACACCCTGGCGCCGGCCGCGGATGTGCTCCGCGTTCTCCTGCAGTTTCTCCAGCAGCTGACGCACCTGCCGGCAGTAATTGGCCACCTTACACTCCCGGAGGAAGGACTTGAGCTGCAGGAAGGAGGGAGAAGCTCAGCCATGGCCCAGGGTGCCCACTGGAGCCATGCCGGGTCAAGTCCAGCTGCTCCACTTGGATCCTGCCTCCTGCTAATGTGCCTAGGAAAGCAGCAAAGGACGGTACAAGTCCTTGGGCCCCTGCCACACTCACAGGGGGCTCCTGGCTTTGGCCTAGACCATCCCTGGCCATCACCACCACTCGGGAAGTTAACCAGGGGACAGATCTGTCCATCTTGTCATGGTGTCATTCTGCCTTTCAGATAAATAAAAAATATGTCTTCACATGAAGAAAGACTGGTCCAGGGCCCATGCAACATGCTGAGGGCCACAAGGAAACACAGGTCCCTGTTTCAAAGCCCAAGTACACGTGTGTGTCGGGGAGGGGGCACATGCAGTAGAGCCAGCCAAAGCTCCCAGAGCCTGCCCCTCCTTCCCACTAACTAGCATGGGGTACGTGGCTGTTGGGCAGCATAAACTGTTGCCCCGGGTGCTCACAGCCTGTGAGAGCCAGCTCCCTGCCTAGGTGCCAGAGAAAGCAGCAGAAGATGGCCCTGATTCTGGGACCTGCACCCACATAGGAGACTCAGGCTCCTGGCTTTGGTCTGGCCCAGCCCTGGCATTTCAGCCATTAAGGGAGTGAACAAGTAGATGGAAAGTCTTTCCAAAGCCCCACCTCAGCTTTTCAAATGAATTTAAAAAAAAAAAAAAAGATTCCAGGAGAGGCATGTAGTTAGAAGACTAGCAAGCCAAAGCCAACACTGGGGTCAGGGCAGCTCGCTCCATCCCAACCACCCCCAACGTCAGACTACCACTGATCTGACCCTAGAAGGTCCTGGAATCCAGGCTGGTGCTCTGAGCTCCTCCAGGCCACCTCATCGACCACTGCCTAGACTGCAGCTTCAGAGCGGGGCCTAGGCTGGCCACGCCATGCTGCTGCTGACCCATGTGGCTGGGATAGTCACCCGAGCTCTCCAGGGTAGGACAGCACGTACACATGCACATACCTGTAGGACTGCGGGCAGTGCCAGCTCTGGGAAGGCAATGCTGTGGGCGTGGCCTTGCAGGTGCTCCAAGGTGAGGTCACACAGCTGCTCCACCAGGCCGTCCTAGAGTGAGCAGGGGGACACTCAGGGTGACAAGTCCCAGGTCAGAAGATGAGCTTCATTTTGTCAGGGAGGACATGACCAAAAGGCCAACAATTTCTCACGAGCCATGACCACGCTAAGGGCAAGTAGCGGGCTACAACTGGAATCTCGGGGCTTCAACTGCAGCAGCCATGAAGCAGCCTTACCCGGTACGCCTTCTCCTGCAGGTTCACGCTGGACAACTTCAGGATCACGGAAAAGTTGATGGGCTTGGAGCTCATCCGGCCTGGCTTCTTATTGAAGTCCACCTGCTGGAAAACCTGCCAGGGAGATTGCTATGTCAGCCTCGGCTGCGTGCAGAGCCTCCATCAATCCGGCCCTAGCCACATGCTGAGCCTCAGCCCTGACTGTGTGCAGGGCCTGGATCAGCCCCAACCATGCACTTGCTGAGCCTCCGTCAGCCCTGGGAGCTGAGCCTCAGACCTCTTACCTGCCAGTAGGCCAACATAGCCCCAGCCCTGTAGCGTCAGGCTGCAATAAGACACAGAACCTGGGCAGGGGCAGGACTGACAGCATCGCTGCCAACTCCAGCCACCATCTCTGGGGCAAGGCCTGTGTCCTGGGTGCTGAGGCACAGCTTCAGTGAGCCAGGGCCATCAGGACGAGAGCTACCCACACCACAGGAGGGAAGGAGGGGCAAGGGAGATGGGAGTATGGGAGGACAGAGCCCTAGCCTGTTCTGGGCCTCTGGGCGAAGGCTGGATGGGGCCTGCACTTGCCTGAGCAGGATACAGGCACGTGCACAGGACACATACCCCGGGCCTGGCTGTGGGTCCAGCCCTCCTGTCCAGTCTTGGACACACACCCATATGGCCCTGTAAGGCCAGAGCACACATCCCCAGGTGGGCGCTGCCACAGCCTAGACACAATCATGTCCAGAGTGACAGTGGGGATAGCCAGCTCACCTCGAGGATGAAGGGCAGCACAGGAATGAAGGTGCCCGTGCTCTCTGACAGCAGTGTGAGGGCACGAACACAGTGCATGCGCAGGGGATAGAAGCGAGCAGTGGGTACCAGCCTGGGCATGGAACATGGAGTCAGCAGGAGTCTGCTCAGATCTGCCCACCAGTGGAGCCTCCTTGGACCTCTGCCCAAACTGAGGCCACCCCACCCCACAGATCTCCCCACCCTCAACACACAGTTCTGAGGACCCACTTCCCTGCCTCTTCCCCACCCAAGATGCAGCAGGAATACCCTTTAGAAGGACATGGACGCCCCCTCCTGGCCACAGACACACACAGCCAGCCCTAAGACAGGGCCCTAGGTGGCTGAGCCGGGTTTGCAGGGTGCCAACATCTTCGCACATGATGCGGGACCCTTGGCCCTTCTTCAGGGGCGGCCAAGACACATACTAGAGTCCTAGATGGCCAGAAGCCCCTGGGCCAGGCCTCCTGCCTCAGGACAGAACTCACTTGATGCAACCGATGATGATCTGGGCAAGGGGGTAGACCAAGGGCTGGAGGGCGTCACGGGAACCTTCGCTGCTAAGCACACGGCACCACAGGTAGAGGCAGTGCACGTACTGCCAGTTGTACACAGACTGATACGTCTCCTGCACCGAGGAACAGCGCCCACCTCAGCCACAGGTCAGCCCCAAGGGCCCCGGGAAGGCCCTACCTCTGCCCCTCATGCTGGGACTCCCCACCCTGCAGTGGCAGGACCGTGCCCACCACCCACATGATCCCATGGGCAAATGCTGACCCCCACCAGGCCCTGTGCGGGGAGAGGCCAGCCACACCTTCTTGCGTGTGGTCATGGCACTGCGCAGATGAATGGCAAGTTGGCGGACATAGAGGAAGGCGAGCTGGTAGGCGAGGCTGGGGTCCAGGGCCAGCAGCTCCGTCAGGGTGCGCTGCATGAAGGTGATGAGGGGCAGGCTGCCCGGGGAGGTGAACCTGCAGTTCCTCACATACATGATGTACATTTGCTGCCAAGACACCAGCCAGCACCGGGCGTTCCTAGAGCTGCTCCCTGCAACAGGGAGCACTGCCCAGCAACAGCCATGTGCCCCTGCCATCCACATACACATGGCCAACACATGTGCTCCCCTCCAGCCCCCTGGCTTGGCCCCAGCGGTACCTAACAGGTCTCTATCCCCCTCCATGTCCCACGACACCCCCTGCTGAGGGAAGCCATGCAGCCGAAAGATGGAGGATGGTCCTGGAGGCCCAGGGTCTCCACCCCAACCCTCTCCAAGAGGAGCCATGGTCCCACGGTTCTGCTTAGAGCCTGTCCATGGGACCCCACCACAAACCACACAGCCTGTGGAGGCAGCAGGCCCAGCCCAGACCCTGATATAGGACACAGACGCAGGGCCACCCGCTCACCTTGAGGACAGGGCTCAGGAAGGCGTCCTTCTTGTGTCGGCAAAGCCGGAGAAGGACAAGGAAGGCCAGCACTCGCAGGGATTCCTCACCCGTACTCCACAGGACCACCATCCTCTATGGAGGGCGGGAGGTCAGGAACACCCCCAAGCAGCCACAGCCCCCCAGATGTCTCAGCAACACCAGCAGCTGGCTCAGCCAGAGACACCAAGACAGTGAGGAAGCTGGCCTGGCAACGAGTGCCTCCTCAAAGCTCCTGCATGGCAGGGGGAGCCAGAGAGAAGACAGAGGGGTGCCCCAAGTCGCTCCCCACCTTGAGCAGCATGCGGCACTGTTTCGGGAAGGTGAGGAAGTAGGGCACCAGGCTGCTGATGTGCCGGAGGACAGCCGCTGACACTGTTGCTTCTGCCAGGCAGGTCACCAGCTAGGAGGCAGAGAGGGATAGTGAAGCAGGACTGTGCCAGGCCAGGAATGGCAGCCACAGCCCACCCCTGCACCCTGGCACCTGCACCACGGAGCTCAGGTAGGCCTTCACGTCCACACGTAGCTTCCCCCAGAGTGGGCTGCTCGATGGTGGCAGAGCCCTGCAGAAGACACAGCCTGAGGCACACCCGCCTGGGCACTCCGCAGGACACAGGGCCTCACAGCGACACCGCTGCCCTCACACATGTGTCATGTGGGGCTGCTAGGCAGGGCTCTGAGCAGAAACTGACCACACTGTGCAGTCAAGCCCAGTCCCTCCAACAGGAGGGAGCCCAGGCTGCCTCCTCCAGATGAGGGTGCCCTCGCCAACCTCACTAGTCGGGCGCTGCATTTCTGCAGTTGGCACCCAAGGACTGGACCTTGAGCCTAACCCCACAAACCCACTGCCATAAGCTGAGCTTGGCATCACCTGAACCCCAACCCCAATCTCTGTAGTTGTGACTGCTGAGCAGCCCATGTGCAACAGGCACCCACCAAAATCTGCCAAAACGTGGGGGACAGAGCAGAGGTCCCAGCTGCCCCCTAGGAGATTCCTGCCAGAAGGCAGTGTGCCTCTCAACCCCACCAGTCCACTAGTCGCAGGCTGCTTCTGTCCACTCAGCTGTCGCTGAGTGACAAGGACATACCTGTTGACTGCCCTACAGTCCCTGGCTGTGCCATTCTCCACCCCCACCTCCTCTCCTAGGGATGAGCTGCACTCCAGCCAAGGACACCCGAGCCAAGCGAGCGTGGGCCACACCCTCCGGGGGACTTGGGGACGAGAACCCAGAGGCAGGACAGAGGACGGAGCCCTTGCCGACCTGCCCAGGCCCCAACCACACCACAGCACTCCTTTCCTCTCACCTGCTTCTATCCTTGGCTGCCCTCCCAAACAGCAGCTTCTGGAGACAGCCAAAGAGGTCTCGGATGCAGAAGGTGACCAAGGCATTGAACACTGCAATGAAAGTGACCACAGGTCTCTCCTGGGGACAGCGTGACAGCGACTGAGTGCCCACACACACCTGGCCTCAGCATCCAGCCCCACTTACCAGCACTGTCTGTGACCTGGAACCTGCTGCCCTCAACTCCTTCCTGGTCTCCCTGAGTGGTAGCCACTGCTGCCCGGAAGGCCTGCACCACTTCCCGAAACAGCTTTGGAGACAGGCGTTGCTAAGGCAAGAAATGGAGAATGTCAGGCCTGCACCCAACAGAGACAGCAGCCCAGACACCCCACTCACACGCTCAGGTGCCCAGCGGGGTTAGGGAGAGCTACTGGGCTGTGCGCTGGGTCACAAGTTCTAGGCCGCACGGAAAGCGGCAGGGGCCTGACCCAACATGTGGACTCTGGCCATCTCCTCCCGTCCCTGCAGAAACCAGGGCGGGAACATGTCCCCAGAAGGCTCACGGGCTGGAAACTCAAGCTTCAAAGGCATGCATGATGATTGGTGGGACCTTCCAGGGTAACAGAGCGGGGCCCAGGCAGCACCCCACAAGGCGTCACCCAGTGCTCAGGTGGCCGTCACCCAGATATACTGTCTCTGTCACAGTATGGCAACAGAAACAGACTAAGGGTGAGGTGGAGCCCACCAACAGACCAGGGAACCCCAACCTGGCCTCACTGGACACGTGTGAGCAGAGTGGAGCCCACCAACAGACCAGGGAACCCCTACCTGGCCTCACTGGACACGTGTGAGCAGAGTGGAGCTGACCGCACCCCCCCACACACACTGCTTCTTACCTTGGCTGCCTGCTTCCATCTCTCAACCAGAGCGAGGGACACTGCAGTGGTCCCGTCCTTCCTCCCCCTCAGGTCTCTGGAGGCCCCTGCCCCATCTTCTTCCTCCTCGGTGCTCCCCTCCTGGCTGGCTTCCTGGGCACACAGCAAAGGGCCAGACTGGGGTTGGACAGAGGCCACGATGCCCACCTGTCCCCACCCTGTGCCAGGCAGCCTAGGCCTCACCTCCAGCCGCTCTGGCAGGGAGTGCAGCTGCTCGCCCTCATCCTCGGAGCTATCCGAGGCACTGAAGTCCAGCAAGCTCCGGTCATTGTCTTGCAGGAACCTATAGAACTCGGGGTCCTTGTCCTTCAGGCGACCCAGCTGCTCCTTGTGCTCGGAGGCCCGACCTGGGCGCCGGCTGTCAAGGCGGGGTCAGTGGGTCAGCTGGGACCACCACCAACAGCTAGGCCATGCACCTCATGTCCCCAGGGGTCACCCCAGCTAAGTCACCTCAAATCCCACACACACCTAACATCACCCCAACCAGCAGCACCAGCCCCACGCTGACCCCAGCCCCTCTACCTCCTGCCTGCTCTGACCCCACTCGCTGCTCTGTGTCTCTGCTCCCTCCCAGCTGGTCACCTCCAGCTACCCAAGGACACTCCGGCCTCCTCCCAGCAATAGAGCTGAAGTTGCACAGAGGCTCGGCTACCTCGGCCGGCAGTCCAATACCGATGCTGCTTCCCACCCAGCTCCCATGCCAGCAGGCAGCTCAGTGCTGGCCCTGTGGCCACAGGCAGACCCAGGAAGCTAGAGGGAACCAGTCCAGGGACCAGCCCTGACAGAGCGATCATGGTGCTCACCTAGCCCTGTGTGCTGCCCGTGCCTTGTTCTCGGGAACGGCTTCGGGCTCCGACTCGGACTCCGCATCAAAGCCAGACGTGAGGAACTCATCCACTGTCAGCTCGGCCAGACGCCTGTGGACCCAGCCAGTCACTGGCCTACACTGCCACAAGCAGCACCAGGGGAAACGGGGAGAAGGAGGGGAGCACCGAGGGCACAGGGAGAGAGATGGGAGCACTGGGGGTACGGGGAGGAGGGGAGCACGGGGGGGGGGGCACGGGGAGGAGGGGAGCAACGCGGGCACGGGGAGCGGGATGGGAGGAGCACTGGGGGTACAGGAAGGAGAGGAGCACAGGGGGTACGGGGAGGAGGGGAGCACCGGGGGCATGGGGAGGAGGAGGGGAGCCCGGAGGGACCACGGGGAGGAGGGGAGCACCGGGGGCATGGGGTGCGGGAGCAGAGCACCGGAGGCACAGGGAGCGGCGGGAGAGGAGTGTGGGGCGAGAGGAGCAGGAGGGGAGCACTGGTAGCACCGGGAAGCGGTGTGCGGCGGGAGGAGAGTGTGGGGTGAGGGGAGCACGAGGAGCACTCAGGGCACGGGGAGCGGGCGGGGAGTATCGAGGGCATGGGGAGCACCGGGGAGCCGCGCCGCGGACTCAGGGGAACCGGGAGCCGTCACCACTCACCGCTTCCGGCTGCGCGCCGCCGCCATAACACCGGCTTGCAGCGTGCGCCCCACGTCCGGTCCCAGAAGGCCGTGCGCCTAGCGCACTTCCTTCAGAGCAGCCACACCCTGGCCACGCCCCGGCCACGCCCCCGGACGGCTCTACGTTTCCTGGCCGGCGGCGTCAGTGCCCCGCGGCGCGGGAGGGCGCGTTCCAGTCACCGCCACCCCACTCGTGTTCCGACGGCCTCTCGCGGTTACGTGTACCTCCCCATGTCCCTCCACAGCAGTGCAAGCGTGGCGGGCTGTGGGGACGCCGTACCTGGGGCAAAGCAAAAAACGGTACCGCGGAAGCTCCTATGCAAAGAGCATCCCCAAATCAACAGAAAGCTGTGGCCGCAGAGCCGAGCAGAGGGAGGGTTTGTCAGGGAGGCGGGAGATCCCTGTGGGCCAAGCTCGGCGGCAGAGAGCCTGCCCCCTCTCCTCCAGCCCTCGTCGCAGGGGACAGCTTCAGGAAGGGCCTCCACAGCTGGGGCTAAGGTGCCTTCCAGGGCAAGTGCCCAGGCGGCGCAGCGCAGTGCCTGAAACAGGTGCGCGTGGCCTGGGGCATGGGGACGACAGGGCCATGGGGACAGGCCTTCGGTATGGGACACAGTCTGGGGCGCAGGAGCATGGCCTGGGGTGCAAGGACAGGCCCAGCAGAACACAGCCTGGGGTGCAGGGACAGGCCCAGCAGCCATCGCCTCAGATGAGGGACAGGCCCAGCAGAACACAGCCTGGGGTACAGGGACAGGCCCAGCAGAACACAACCTGGGGTGCAGGCACAGGCCCAGCAGAACACAGCCTGGGGTGCAGGGACAGGCCCAGCGGCCATCGCCTCAGATGAGGGACAGACCCAGCAGCAGCTGGCCTGGGGTGCAGGGACAGGACCAGCGGCGCGCGGGCGCGCGGGCGGCCGGCCTGGGGCGGGGCGGGCGGCGCCGAGAAACAGCGGCGGCGAGCGAGCCGGGACGCGCAGGGGCCGCCGCCGCCGCGCTGCCCTGGGGCCGGGCTGCCTGTGCTCCGCTGTGCGCTCGTCCAGGTTCTCCGCGGGTCCGGCGGCCGCGCCCATGCAGCCGCGCAGCGAGCGCCCGGCGGGCAGGACCCAGAGCCCCGAGCACGGCAGCCCGGGGCCCGCTCCCGAGGTGCCGCCGCCGCCGCCTCCGCCGCCGCCGCCGGTGTGAGTAGGGGTCGTGGCCGCCGGCTGAGCGCGGCTCGAGAGCGGGGGCAGTCCGGGGCTGCAGCCCTGCAGCGGGGCCTGCATCCCAGGGTCCTGGCCGGGACGCCGGGCTGCTGTGGCTGGGTTGGCGGGGGGCGATCCTGTGCATCCCTGCGGATGCTGACCGGATGCTGACCCGGCCAGGCAGGGTCCTGCGCTCTTGGAGGACCCTGAGCCTGGCCGCTGGGGGGTCCTGTACTCCGGGACAGCTCTGACCCGGGCTGGGGCGGTCTTGTGCGTCTCTGAGCACCCTGACCCTGGCAGGGTGGGCAGGGGGTCCTGTGAGTTCCCGGAGGGCCCTGACCCGGGCGGAGGGGGGAGTCCTGCGCGCCCTAGTGGATGCTGACCCGCCCGGTCCGCAGCTCCCGGCAGGCCCGGCCCGCAGCGCCCATGGAGCCCGCGCTGCCGCTGCTGAGCCGCGAGGGCCAGAGCGTGGCGCACAATGCCAAGCGCCACTACCACGACGCCTTCGTGGCCATGAGCCGCATGCGGCAGCGCGGGCTGCTGTGCGACATCGTCCTGCACGCTGCCGCCAAGGAGATCCGCGCTCACAAAGTGGTGCTGGCCTCCTGCAGCCCCTACTTCCACGCCATGTTCACAAGCAAGTGCCCCCCCTGTCCCTGAGCCCCACACGCACACAGGGCTTAGAAGCCCCTGACCCCCAACACGAAAATCCCGAAAATCCCGTCCCCACAGATGAGATGAGTGAGAGCCGCCAGACACACGTGACCCTGCACGACATCGACCCCCAGGCCCTGGACCAGCTGGTGCAGTTTGCCTACACAGCCGAGATTGTGGTGGGCGAGGGCAACGTACAGGTGAGGGTCTGACCCATACCTGCCCCCAACCCTAGCTGAAGTGAGCTGAGGGACCAAGCCCTGCCCTAGGAGAGGACGCACACCTGCCCTCAGCTGAAGGACCAAGGCCTGCCCTAGGAGAGGACGCACACCTGCCCTCAGCTGAAGGACCAAGGCCTGCCCTAGGAGAGGACGCACACCTGCCCTCAGCTGAAGGACCAAGGCCTGCCCTAGGAGAGGACGCACACCTGCCCTCAGCTGAAGGACCAAGCCCTGACCTAGGAGAGGACCCACACCTGCCCTCAGCTGAAGGACCAAGCCCTGCCCTAGGAGAGGACCCACACCTGCCCCTTAGGGCCTCGCACTACAGCCCTGCCCTGTCCCACCTGTACACAGACCTTGCTCCCAGCTGCCAGTCTCCTGCAGCTGAACGGGGTCCGGGATGCCTGCTGCAAGTTCCTGCTGAGCCAGCTGGACCCTTCCAACTGCCTGGGTATCCGTGGCTTCGCTGACACCCATGCATGTGGCGACTTGCTTAAGGCAGCCCACAGGTACGTGCTACAGCACTTCGTGGACGTCGCCAAGACCGAGGAGTTCATGCTGCTGCCGTTGAAGCAGGTAACTCCCAGCTCTGACCCACCTGTTCCCTTCCCAGCTGCACGGGCCATGTCCTGGTCATCCTCGCCGTGCCCAGTCGTCCCTGCCTGACCCCCATCCTGTTCCCCTGTGGGAGCCCAACCCCTCTTCCAGCCGGCCTCTCCGAGGTTCCTCCAGTCTCTGCTCACCCCGACCCCAGGTGCTGGAGCTGGTGTCCAGCGACAGCCTGAACGTGCCCTCAGAGGAAGAGGTGTACCGGGCAGTGCTGAGCTGGGTCAAGCACGATGTGGATGCTCGGCGGCAGCACGTGCCCAGGGTGAGGGACCTGGTTCCCGGGGTGTCTCTGGGACGGCAGACACTGAGGCCCTTCCCACTTGGGGACCCTGCATGGGAGTGCCCTTGCCTGTGTTGCTGGGGGTGTAGCTGTGCATCTGAACCCTGGATCCAGGCTCTCTCTCTGAAGGGCCTCCTGACCTGGGCCCCCTCCCCGCTCCCAGCTGATGAAGTGTGTACGGCTGCCCCTGCTGAGCCGGGACTTCCTGCTGGGCCACGTGGATGCTGAGGGCCTGGTGCGGCACCATCCAGACTGCAAGGACCTTCTGATTGAGGCCCTCAAGTTCCACCTGCTGCCGGAGCAGAGGGGTGTCCTGGGCTCCAGCCGCACACGGCCCCGCCGCTGTGAGGGGGCGGGGCCTGTGCTCTTTGCTGTGGGTAAGCCGCTGGCTCTGCCCACACCCACCTGGGGCCCCACCTCCCTCCAAGTGTCTCCCGTCACCTCCCCTTCCCCAGGTGGTGGGAGCCTGTTTGCTATCCATGGAGACTGTGAAGCCTATGACACACGCACTGACCGTTGGCACGTGGTAGCCTCAATGTCCACTCGCCGGGCCCGGGTTGGCGTGGCTGCCGTTGGGAACCGGCTGTACGCCGTGGGCGGGTAAGTGTAAAGACCAGTTTGGATCGGGGCTCCATGTGCACCTACTCGGCCTTGACCGGCAGTGGAACCCCCCTCAGCTACGATGGGACCTCCGACCTGGCGACGGTGGAGTCTTACGACCCTGTGACCAACACGTGGCAGCCCGAGGTGTCAATGGGCACGAGGCGCAGCTGCCTAGGTGTGGCCACCCTGCATGGGCTCCTGTATGCAGCCGGCGGCTACGACGGGGCATCTTGCCTCAACAGGTAGTGGACGAGTGGGCCCAGCGCCCCCAGGCTGGTCACCACAGCCAGAGGTGAGGCCGCATCTAGCCAGGGACAGGAGGGACTCCAAGCCCTGCCTACCCCAGGCCTAGGGGACAGGCCCTGAACTGTGCTTGCCCCACACCTGGGCTGCACAGAGCTAGCCCCACTGTCCCTCCCCTTTGCGGTCCTCCCCACCAGCCAGAGGCTGGACATGGGACACCATCTCCTGGCTGTATTTCAGTGACCAGTAGCCTGTGCCAACTGGTGGCTTCTGCCCATCCACTCTGGTGGGGGTCAGGCTGAGATGCTGCAGATGCCTTGCCCAGGATGAGCGCGGCCGGCTGGAGGGCAGGTGCCCCTGCCGAGCCAGGGTCAATGTGGTCTGCTGCCCACAGCGCCGAGCGCTACGACCCCCTGACGGGAGCCTGGACATCCATTGCCGCCATGAGCACCCGGAGGCGCTACGTGCGTGTGGCCACACTTGGTGGGTGTTCGCCCCCCAGGGTGGCGTCCATGCCTGTCCCTGGCCCGGCCCCCAGCCCAGCAGGAACACGTCTTTGGCTTCCTGCAGATGGAACCCTCTATGCCGTTGGCGGCTATGACAGCTCATCACACCTGGCCACTGTGGAGAAGTATGAGCCCCAGGTGCATAGTGCACCCCTGCCTGCTGCCCCCAGGGCCCCTAAAGGCCCCCTGCCCTGCACTGCAGTCCCCCTCCCCAAGTATAGACACCTTTGGCGGGGGGAGGGGGAGGGGTCTGGCTTCAGCCTACCCTATGCCTGCCAGGTGAACGCGTGGACCCCTGTGGCCTCCATGTTGAGTAGACGCAGCTCAGCGGGGGTGGCCGTCCTAGAGGGCGCCCTGTATGTGGCCGGCGGCAATGACGGCACAAGCTGCCTCAACTCAGTCGAGCGCTTCAGCCCCAAGGCCGGAGCCTGGGAGAGTGTGGCACCCATGAACATCCGCAGGTGGGGCCAGGGGAGGGATTGTTTAGGATTGGTGGGGGCCGCCTGCCGCACCAGCCTGGGCTCACCCAGCTCCCTGCCTGCCACAGGAGCACGCATGACCTGGTGGCCATGGACGGCTGGCTGTACGCGGTGGGCGGTAATGATGGCAGCTCTAGCCTCAACTCCGTGGAGAAGTACAACCCCCGTGCCAATAAGTGGGTGGCAGCATCCTGCATGTTCACCCGGCGTAGCAGCGTGGGCGTGGCTGTGCTGGAGTTGCTCAGCTTCCCACCCCCGTCCTCCCCCACGCCAGCCGTGTCATCCACCAGTCTCTGACCCCACGGCTGCATGGACACCTCCCACGTGCCTTAGCCCCAGGAGCGGCCCCGGCTCCCACCCCTCAGTCCCCAGGGGACCAGGGACGCCCTGCGCTATCTGTCCATGTCTCTGTGTGTGTGTATTTATTTATTGATTTATTTATTGGTTATTGAATGGTTTATTCATTGGTGGGAGTGCCACTCTTCAGCCACCACCTTGTTTATTTGCAAGGCGTTACCATCCTGTGGGTCTGTTGACCCAGCTGTCCTGGGGGGCAGTTCTTGCCCCCTCCCCCAGCCAAGAATTTCTGCCTGGGGGCATAGGGCCCGTGGCTGTGAGTGGACACCAGCTTGGCCCACCCTGCCTGGGGCACCCTGCCCTCACTCTGTCCTATATCTGCACTCAGAATCCCTCACAGCAATATGAGCCAGCTGGACAATAAATGTGTTTCTGGGCTCTCTGGGCTGAGACTGAGTGTCCCTCCCTGACTCTCTTCCTTTCGGGCCTGGGTGGTCACTTCCTTTCAGGCCTGAGTGGAGCCCCTAAAATGAGGTTTTGGGGGCCCTGGGCCACCACCTTGGGCTTGGGGTGCAGCTGCACGTGCACGCCAGTATGCCCCTCACTGGGATTGTCCTGAGCACCCAGGAGGAACCCCCCCCGACACACACACGCACACACAGGAACTGTCCTGTCATGGCTACCCAGAAGGACCCCCCACACACACTGGGACCGTCCTGTCCTGGGCACCCAGGAGGACCCCACACATACACTGGGACAATCCTGTGGCCTCCTTCATGGACCTGGATATTGACCTGGAGTGGGGGTTGGCATGGGTAGAATTTGGCTCCCCTTTGCTAGTGCAGGGAGTTCTGCTGCAGCAGCAGGAAGAGCACCCTGCCCCCTCCCCCCAAGTCACTGGTGACTCAGACCAGCTGGGTTCATGGGGAAACAGGATGTGGGGTGGGAGTGCCAGGAGGGGCTCCAGAGCCCCAGCATCCCCAGCCTGAACTGAGGCTGGATGCTGAGAGGAGGAATCACCTCTGGCCTGCTGCTGCCCGATGTGGGCCAGCCAGACCTGAGGGACTCGGACCAGAGCCAAACCCACCCAGAAGGGCTCCTCCCAGGCCTGGCCCACAGGTAGGAACAGGCAGGCTGGAGCTCCGCCCCCCAGGACAAGGCGGGGACTGGCGGCCGGGACAGAGACCCAAACCCGTCGCCCTGCTTGGCCCCTGCTGGTTGCTGCCACCCATGGGGAACAGCCAGTGTGTCCCTCAGGCCCCCAGGAGGCTCCGGGCGTCCTTCTCCAGAAAGTCATCACTGAAGGGCAGCAGGTGAGCGGGGCTCTGCCGCTGTTGGGGTCTTAGTCAGTCAGTGCTGGATCGGGATGCCAGGTTCTTCCGTCAGGCTGTCAGCCCTTGCTTGTATCTAGGGAGGACAGTGCGAGGAGGCTGGCCGGCCCCAGCAGGGACTCCGCTGCAGACAAGCTCTTCCACTACGTCCCTGGACCGGTGAGCGCTTGTGAGCTCAAAGACTGGGCTCCTTGGCAGGTGGGGACAGCAGGGCCAGGGTCCCCTATCCCTTTAAGACAGCAGGGCCAGGGAACCCCAGTTTGTGGGGACCACAGCACTGTGCTCTCACCTGGCTGGGTGCCAGCCTAAGGGGCTGAGCGTACTTAGGGTCTAGAGCAAGGGAAGGGAGGAGACGCAGCCCCGCCCTGGGAGCTGGTCTGACAGCCGAAAGTCTGAGTGAAACTGGGGCGGGACTGAGTCAGTGGGAGCTGGCGGCAGGGGCGGGTCATGGGCGGGTCCTCTGGGGCAGCCTCACCTTTGCTGTTCTGTTGCCTACCCCATGCTTCCCAGTTCTGAGGGGCTGGAAGAGGATCCTGGGCCATACATGCCCGGTGGGCTAGCTCTGGGCAGCGTCTGGGTTTCCCAGATTGGAGACACCTATGGCAGCCCAGAACCTAGCCCCAGGTAACAGTACTTCCCATGGCTGTAACCCAGGCCCCAGCCACACTGTCATGCCCAAGGGAGTCCCAGGCTCCCCATTGGCCCCCCAATCCAGCCATGACAACCAGAGAGGGGTTCTGGGAGGTAGTGTCAGGGTGGGGTTGAGCCTCGGGCAGCCAAAGCCAGTTCTTGGCCAGAGCTTGACTCCACTGGGTGGGCAGCATAGCCCATTTTTACTGGCTCCTGATTGCCACAAGGGCCATCCTGGGTGTGGGTACATAGGGCCCATCCACAGGCAGGGAGGCTGTGGTCTGTCCACATTCTTGCTCATGGGCAGCTTAGCCTGAGAAGGGCCCTGCCAACACCCCAAGGGCACATGACCTCTGCACAGCAAGTCCCTCAGCTTGTGGGCCCTGTTCTAGGGACAGGGCAAGGAGAGGTAAAGAGCCCCACACCCCCTGATGTCAGCATCACCATCGCTGTAGCTCTTCTGTGACTGGCAACAAGTCGCCAACAACAGGAGGCGCAGGGGAGCCTGCTATGGGGAAGGGGCTGCAGCAGGGGAGAGCTGAGGAGACTCCCCTGGTGTGAGGGGCTCAGGGTGATGCCAAGATCTTAGCTCCTGCTGAGGTGTCAGGATGCAGGCTGGGCACCAGGGTTGGCCCAGGGCATGTAGGGGGCAGGTGCCAAGGGATGTCACTGACATCCAGCCCAGTCTGGCTTTTCCACTTGTGTCATGTGTGGCCAGAATGTTGGCCTCTTGCAGCATTGCTCACCTCTGAGCTACGTTAGGTCTGGGCCCTCAAGATCTGGTTCATGAAGACTAGGAAGGGGGGCGGGTCTGGCTATACAGATGGGTTCTCGGGCTCCTGCTGGTGCCGCAGGACGATGCCTATATGTTCATGGCTGTGTCCTTCAGTCGGGCTGGTGGCCCCAGTCAGGCCTCATTCCCTGAGCTCTGCTGCCCACAGGACATCCCTGGCCTACAGAATCAAGACACAAACCTAGAGCAGCCATTCCTGAGCATTTACAAGAGGGCCCGGCGCAGGGTGCCTGTGAAGGATCTGGGCAAGGTTGTATACTACGCCAAGGTCCGACTGCGCTTCCTGCATAGCCAGGTAAGGCCAAGGTCAAGGTCAGCTTGGCTACGGAGGACCCAGGGTCAGCTCAGCCAGGTGGGGCCAAGGTCAGCTTGGCTGCAGGGTCCTAGGGTCAGCTTGGCTGCAGGGGCCAGGGTGCTTCCTGGAGTCCCCCTCACATTGCCCCCTGCTCCCCCTCCAGGACGTCAGTGACTGCTTCCTGGAGCTGTTTCCCTCCCACCTGTACTTCCAGGCCCACGGAGCTGAAGGGCTTACATTCCAGGTGAGGGGAATGGCAGAAGGTGGGTTGTCTCTGACCTCAGAACCGCTGCAGCCCCCTCTCCTGTATCCTGACAGGGGATGCTACCACTGGCCGAGCTGAGCGTCCGCCGGCTGGAGGGGTCACAAGATTATGCATTCCAGATCACAGGTGTGTGGCCCTGGGAGGCCTCCCTGACCCATCGCTAGGGGCCAGCAGAGCCTCACAGAGGGGCCAGCCCCACACCGTGCCTACTCCGTCCCCGCAGGCCCCTGCCCACCCCCTCCTGGTGCTCTGCCCCCTTCCCACAGGCCCCTTGCCTGCACCCCTCCTGGTGCTCTGCCCAAGTGAGGCAGAGCTGGGCCACTGGCTCTACCACCTGGAGAAGCAGATGGCCCTAGTAGGGGGGCTGCGACGCTGCCACTCGGCGCCTCCACAGGTCAGTGCCTGGAACCCTGCACCTGTGGCCCAGCTTCCCCAGCCGGCCTGCCCTGGGCCAGATCCTCACCAGGGCCCTGAACCCACAGTCCACCCTCCTCTACCTAGGGCCCCCCCAGGGACGAGCTCCCCTGGACGCTGCATCGCCATCTGGCCCAACTGTGGACAGCACCAGGACGCGAGTCAGCAGGCAACCCCATCTGTGCCTCCCGGGTGAAGCTGCAGCATCTGCCCTCACAGGTGAATATGGAGATGGGAAGGGTGTGGGGTGTCCCAGCACCCTCAGTCCCAGCAGCTCACTAGCCCTCCCACAACAGGAGCAGTGGGACCGACTCCTGGTGCTGTACTCAGCTTCCTTGGCCATCTTCTCGGAGGAACCTGATGGGCTTTGTTTTAAGGTGGACCCGCCCAGGGAGGCACCTTGTATATGGGGGTGGGAGGGGCGGCAGTGCAGGAGGAACCTGTATTTCGGGGCCTGTTGGGACAGAGTACACAGGCCCTGCCTGCCTGGCCCCACTGCTCTGGTCACTCTGGTCTTACTTCTGGTTGGAGAGGATGCCCCACTCCGAATGGTCCCTATGCCGTGAACTTGATTACCTCACAGGGCAGTGGCATGAGGGTGGGAGCTGTGCCCAGAGGTCCCTAGCAGGTGCTTGCTGCATGTGTGTCTGAAATATGTCTTCCAGACCCCTGAGAGGCGTGTGTGTGTGTGCATATGAGCATGTGTGCAAGTATGTCCTCTGGCTTGCACTCAGTCACTGAAAGATACACACAGGGGCTCCCTGGGACCACCCCCCACAGTCTCAGATAGCCTGAGGGGCTCCTCAGCACCCTGACTCCACTGGTAGCTAAGGCTCCACCATGATGGATAGATGGGGCCAGGCTGACCTCACTCAGCCTCCATGCCAGGCTCGAAGGGGTCTGGCTAGAGGCCCTGCCCTCACTGAGAGTCCCCACAGGGGGAACTCCCTCTCAGCGCCATCCACATCAACCTGGAGGAAAAGGAAAAACAGATCCGCTCCTTCCTGATTGAAGGTGGGTTAGGCTGCAGACCCTGGGCCTGCTTGGGATACTGAGGACAAAGGTGGGAGAGAGGAGCCTGGGGTGGGGCACAGTTGGGAGAGAGGAACCCAGAGGTGGGGACAAGAGGGAGAGAGGAGCCTGAGGGCACAAGTGGGAGAGATGGACCGGGGGATGGGACAGAAGGGAAAGAGGAGGTTGTGGGGGGCACAGGTGGGAGAGAGGAACCCAGAGGTGGGGACAGGAGGGAGAGAGGAGTCTCTGGCCTGGCTCTACTGGGTGCCCTGCAGGACCCCTACCTGCCATGTTTGGCCTCATTTGCTACGCAGGCCCCCTCATCAACACCATCCGGGTGCTGTGTGCCAGCTATGAGGACTACAGCCACTGGTTACTCTGTCTGCGTGCAGCCTCTCGCAGGGATGGGGCCCCCATGCTACCAGGTCCTGAGAGCTGCCTAATGCCTATACAGGTAAGAAGTCTGCAGGGACTCTTGGGCAGATGTTAAGCCAGGGGCAGACATGGTCCCCAGCATGGGAAGGTAGGGAGGAGTCCAGCCTTCAGACCATCCCCTGGTTGCTCAATAATGGGCTCAGGCTCCTTGCTGAGGGAACTGAGTCCTCCAGGCTCCTGAAGACCAGCGGCTGTCCAGTCAAGGCTGTCCTCCCAACCTGCAGGAAGTAGCCTGGAGGCTACAAGGCAAGGGAGGGGCCTGGGTCTCCCCCTCTCTAAGCATCTTGTATGGGGAGGGGCTCACAGAACTTTCTGGGAATTTCTCCAGAACCAGGACCACCCTGACTATGGCAGCCTGGGCCGGCAGAAAGCAGAGCTAAGACGCCGAGATAGTGGCCGCTTACCCAGAGCACAAACCTGGGCACAGCGACCTGGCCCAGCCATACCACCACCCCTGCACCTGGACCTGACCAAGGTAAGCCCCTCACTGTGCTGCCTGGGGCCTGGCCTCACCCACTCATTGCCCTACCCAGTCTTTGCCTCAGCCCAGGAGCCAGCTCAGGCACTCTACCCTGCCCTCTTCCCGTAGGTGAGCTGCCTAGGCCTGGAGGGCAGCCCAGAGGCCCCTGACAGCTCCCTGGAGCCACCCCACTCCCCACTCTACGCCGACCCCTACACACCGCCTGCCACCTCCCACCGCAAGATCACCGATGTCCAGGGCCTGGACGAGGTTAGGGCCCTGCTGGATGTACCCATAGCCTGAGGCTGAGAGGGCTAAAGCTTGACACCTGGGCCCAAGCCTGCTCCTCAGCCCAGGGTGTCCAAAGCCAGGGATCTGCTCAGGGCCAGGTGGATGAGGGTCCCTGTGTCGGACCTTGACTCACCCATCTTTTGGGGCAGTTCCTCAGTGCCGTGCGGAGCTCGCCTGGACCAGAGCCCACCAGCCCCCTCCCCACCATGCCTGTGTCTATACCTGTCTGCACCCCTGCTTCTGGAACCGCCGGCCCCCATTTGGGTGCACACAAGGCCGCCCCTCAGCCCAGAGCTCCTCAGAGGCCCCGAGGTTCCACCAAAGGTCGGAGGCCACGGCCCTCAGCATCGCCTCAGCTGGTGAGTCATAGCTGCACCCTGGTTTACAGAAGTTGAGGGGGCAGAGGTCAGGGGAGCTGCACACATTCAGGGGCAGAGATTAGGGGGTCTCAGACCTGGGGGAGCAGAGGTCAGGGTGGGGCTCCAGACCCTGGAAGGATGGAAGGCAGCAGAGCCTGCCAAGACAGAGAAAGGAAGGGTGCAGTGATGGGCCAGGCCCCTTCACTGTCATGGGGTTCATCCCAGGGCCCCCTTCCCCCTCATGGAGCTCCTCCCAGAGACTTAGACTTACACTTGGGCTTTGAATCCAGGTGTCATCTTCCAGGGAAGGCCCACCCAGCCCCCCACCGCCTCCCCCAGGTGAGTGAGGGTCCTGCCAAGGGGTGGGCCCCTGGCATTGCTACCCCAACTGCTACAGGTCTGCCCCCCTAGATGGCTGTTTCCCTGGGGGGCACAAGGGCCCCAGCTACGAAGATGTCTGGGACAAGACTCCACCTGCCTCTCACCGGAAGTGGCCCCAGCAGCTGGCCCAGCCTGAAGCAGAGGGCAGCCTCCCCCAGTGGATCTGAGGCCCCTGGCACCTCAAGGGGCAGTCTGCAGCCTTGACTCTGAAGTTAGAGACTGGCCCTGGCAGGGTGGGGGTCTCCAGACCCTGAGTTGGGCTCTGCTCAGCCCTAGCAGCCTCTTGGGGCTGGAAGAAGGCCGTCTTCTGGAGGGATGTCTGGTGATCAGAACTCAAGGATAGCAGGGAGGCGCTCTTGGCCCTGCCCCAGTGTGCCCAGGGGAGGGCCAGGGGCTGAACTGGGGCTGCAGCTGGGCTAGGGGCTGCAGCATGGGGTGGAGGAGGATACAGAAAGTCAGATAAGGGGTTGGCGGGGCCAGGCCATATGAGGTGCAGGCGTGTGAGTTTAGAGGTCAGAGGCCAGCAAGGCAGGACCTGAGGAGCTCAGCCCAGTATTCCCTGAGAATGTGGTTAGCGGTTAGCGTGGCTCAGACTCCGACACCATAAACCAGGAAGAAAGAGATTTATTGTCTCTATGTCCCCCCTCCTGCAGCCAGGACCCCCACCACCCTAGGTCTCTGACCACCCCTGCAGCTGGGGCTCCCACAGAGGTCTGTGACCCACCCCACCCCCAGAAACCAGGGCTCCCACCATCCTAGGTCTCTGACTATACCCTAGCTCCCATTACCAGGACCCTCACCACCCTAGATCTCTGTCTTCCTCCCAGCCTGTCCTTCTATCCCTAAGGTTCCCAACCCCATCCAGCTTGCAGGCATTTTTGCTGTGCCCTGAGCCTTGCCCCCCTTGTCCTGGGACCTGTCTCCGTCCAATGACCCCTCACCTGCTCGTGTCTGGGGCTGCAGTCCAGCGTCCTTGGGTGCTGACAGTGGGGGAGCCTCTGAGGCCCACAGTATGTAGGCAGAGTCTTAGAAGGGTTCCCTACCAGCTGGGAGGACCTGACACCCTAACCCCAACCTGCCAGTCCCCAAGGACCAGCTGCTCTGTGTGGCTGAAGATGGAGCCAGAGGCAGCTACACGCCACCCCAATTACTAATGTTGAATCTCTTCAACATGACACTCCTGAATCCCTGGTCTCACCTCTGAGCCCTGAGTCCCACATCTGAACCCCCAATCCCACTGCTGAACCCCTGTTCCACATCTGAACCGCCATTCCTGCCTCTGAACCTCCAGTTCTACCTCTGAATTCCTGGTTCCATGTCAATCCCCATTCTCACCTCTGAACCCCATCCTAGGCCTGGACTCCCCAGTTTCACCTCTGAACCCCCAGTCCCACTAGAATCCCTGGGTTGCTCCCTCCATCCCACCATCTCTCCAGGTCCCAGGGCTGGCCCTCAGGGGTGTCTAAGAGAGCAGCCTCCAGGTCACTGGCTGTGTAGAAGATGGGGTCAACAAGGATGGGGACAACCACTTGTCCTTGGCGCCTGTGGTCATCTTGTTCCCCGTCTTCCTGGGATGGGACTGGATCCTAGGAGCTGGGGTGTTGGCTGGGGCTGGGGCTACGGCTGCGGCCAGGGTTGGGGCTGGGACTGGGGCTGGTAAGCCGCTGCCCCACCTGTCGACGGAAGTAGCGGATGGCAGAGACTGTGCCGAGGTTGGCCAGCAAGACTGCAAGAGAAGCACAGGTTAAGTGCCGGCCCGAAGCATTCCTGCCCTGGTCAGTGCATACTCCCTCATGGAGAGAGGTCAACAGGGCAGGAGCAGTGGTCAAGGGATTGGCAGAGGCTGAGAAACATGCCCCGCACTGTGCCCCCCCCACCAGGGCATAGGACCCGTAGACCCAGCTCCCTCTACCCCCAGGGCCCTCAAACCTGTCTTCCAGGCATCTGGGGTCTGCAGATCAGATGTCCTCACGGCCCATGTGGCAAATGCTACAAACACCAGGCACAGGTCCTTCTGGCTGACAGTGAAGGAGGGCAGGGAGCCCTGGAGCTCCCCTGGTGAGAGAAGCAACTTTGCAAGTCAGCTGCCCCAACAAACACATGTTCCCCTGAACATGTCTGCCCCGATGGTCATGTGCTCCCCTAAACACATCTGCCCCAACATGTATTCCCCTGAACACATCTGTCCTGAGTCACATGTCCTAGCTGGGTCACTCAGACACTGAGGTGCTGGGCAGTTTGGGGGTTGCCTCTATTGGTAGTCTGTGGATAGCTCATGGTGGAAGACCAGCTGTCCTGTTACCATTCAGGGAGGGCAGGAGCTTCCCCAAAGACCCACCCACAGACATAAACTCAGGGTCTTACCAGGCACCCCCTGTGGTCCCCCTGGTCAGCACTCACCTGCCCGCCTGATCACCAGGCTTAGCTGCTCTGCTGGATCGGAGCTGGCCTTGAGGAGGCTCCCAGGCCCTGCTTGCCAGGGGGCCAGCCTGGTGGGCTCCAAGTTGTCCATCTGGAGGAGACTAGGGGTTCCCGGCACCTCCCCGAATGTGTCGTCTCCAAAAAAGTGTTCATAGGCCTCAGGGATGGCCAAAGGCACGGGGCTGCTGAGGGGCAAGGCTGGTGCAGGCTTCGGTCTCTGCGGCTGGCAGTCCCGGAAGAAGAACTCACACATGTCTGGCCACTGGTTGGCCACTTCCCCTTCCTCGTCCCCCTCACTCCCCTCCTCGATGGTGTCACAGAAGAAGAACTCATAGGCCTCCGGGAGTGTCACCGCGAAGCCTACCCTGGACCCTGAGCCTGCCAAAGACGAGGGGGCAGGGGGTGGAAGATGCTTAAGGATCCGAGGCTGGGGCAGCCGTGGTCCCACTGCTACAGCATCCCAGGCACCCGAGCCCCTGCAGGCCGCTGGCGGGGTTCTGGGTGGCGAGAGGGGACCTACAGCCCCTTCAGCCTCTGGCCTAGCCATGGAGAACCTCACTTTTTTCTTCCTAGGGCCTTGAGCTGGGCCTGAGAATGGGTCCTCAGTGCCAGGTCTGACAGCCTCTGCCAAGAGAAGCCCACCCCCAGACACAGTCATCCCCGCCCCATCCTTATCCAGCCTGGCCTGTGAGGCACAGACACCCACACATGGCTCTGCCCCATAAGTGGAGGGAGAAAGAGCCGTGGGCAGCACAGCCACCAAACCAGGTGCAGGTGGAACCCCCTCTGACTTGACCACTGGGTGAACTTCAGGCAGATATATGGGCAATGGAGGCCTGGATGTGGGTGTGGATCTAACCATATCGGGTGGAAGCCTGGACACAGAGGTGGACACAGCCGTGTCAGGCAGAGGCATGGATACAGCCGTGTCGGGCGGAGCCCTGGACGCAGCGGTGTCAGACAGAGGCGTGGACGCAGGGGTGGACATAGCCGTGTCAGGCAGAGGCCTGGACGCAGCCATGTCAGAAGGAGGCCTGGACGCAGGGGTGGATGCAGCCGTGTCAGGCGGAGGCCTGGACACAGAGGTGGACACAGCCGTGTCAGGCAGAGGCATGGATACAGCCGTGTTGGGCGGAACCCTGGACGCAGCGGTGTCAGACAGAGGCCTGGACGCAGGGGTGGACACAGCCGTGTCAGGCGGAGGCGTGGACGCAGGGGTGGACACAGCCGTGTCAGGGAGGGGCCTGGACGCAGCCATGTCAGAAGGAGGCGTGGACGCAGGGGTGGATGCAGCCGTGTCAGACTGAGCCATGGACACAGCCATGTTGGGTAAAACCCTGGACACAGGGGTGGATACAGCCGTGTCAGGAAGAGGCGTGGACACAGCCATGTCAGACAGAGCCCTGGACGCAGGGGTGGACACAGCTGTGTCAGGAAGAGGCGTGGACACAGCCATGTCAGACAGAGCCCTGGACGCAGGGGTGGACACAGCCGTGTCAGGCTGAGCCATGGACACAGCCATGTCGGGTAAAGCCCTGGACACAGGGGTGGATACAGCTGTGTCAGACAGAGGCCTGGATGCAGAGGTGGACACAGCCGTGTCAGGCAGAGCCCTGGATGCAGGGGTGGACACAGCTGTGTCAGGTGGAGCCCTGGACTCAGGAGTGGATTCACCCGTGTCCAGAGGAGGCCTGGATGCAGCAGTGGATGCAGCCATGTCAGACGGAGCCCTGGACACAGGGATGGACGCAGCTGTGTCAGGCGGAGGCTTGTCTCTGAAGGGTGTTCTCAGTGGGTCCGCAGGTCCCTCAGGTCCAGGACCAGGTGTGGACGGCTCCATATCCAGCCCCTGGCTGAAGCTGGACTCAGGAGTTCCTCTGGAACCCGTCCCCAGTTTATCCTGCCCAGCTCCTGCTGTCAGCTTTGCCTTTGCAGCCTCAAGTCCCTTGCCCTTGGACCTGGCCAGGCCAAGGCCTTCTTCTGGGCTGACTTCAGTGAGGGGCGGGGTGCTTGGCTGAGTGAGACTAGGGCCCAGACTAGGCCCGGCCCCCTTCCCAGCTGTGGAGCGCTTCTTCTTTCGGTTAGGACTGTCCGGGGGTCTCCGCAAGGCAGTACTGCGGCCAGCAGGCTCAGGGCTCCTTGGGGCCCTCCCGGCGGGGCTCCTTGGGGCCTCCCCAGTGGGGCTGGGGGCTGGGCCCTGCAGGAGTCTCTGCATCTTGCTGCCGGATGCCGGCCCTGGGAAGGATGGGCACTGCCCTGGAGGACTGGCACCGGAGTCAGGGGGTGACCTAGCTTCCAACTGTTCAGACGTGCAGGGCGTCTGCTGACCAGCCCCCCAGGCCAGGCCCAGATCGTACTGAGACCTGCTGACCAGCTGCCAGGCGGCCGCGTTGGCTCCCTCTTCACAGCCCTGCCAGCAGCTTCCCACTGCGGCCAGCTGCCCAGGGAGGAGGGGCAGGGGCCCCGGGGGACTGCCGCCCCTGCTGTCGGCTTGGTCAAGGTCACTGGACAAGAGCTCGTCTCCAGAGGCTAGACTGGCCTGCAAAAGGCCACACTCGTCGGCAACGGCTGAGAACTCAGCCCAGTCCTTGTCACTGAGCTGGACACTGTACTGGAAATTCTCCATCTCCATCAGCAGGGGCGCTGTGGGGGCTGCCCGGGGGGTGCCCATGCAGACGCCAGCCTGCCCACACCCAGACGGTCTTCAGCCGCCCCCTGCTCCATCTCCTACCTGGAAGTAGAGGAGGGCAGCAGGCACCTGTGCGTCCTTCAGGGCTCCCACGTCCCCAACCCCCACCCACCGCGCGGTCACTGGGTTCCACTCAGAGGACACCGTTTCCGGGCCTTTTCCCCTCCCTCCCTCCACTTTCCCTGTGAACACTGCAAGGGCTAGCACCTGAGGTTGGTGCCCTGTGTTGTGGTCAGCCCAGGCTCTCCCCAGCTGGCTGCAGCTGAATGAGGGTGTCATGCCCAGCAGGTGGCCAGCACTCAGTGACCTTCCAGCTGACCAGATGGCCCCTCAGTTCACTGAGGTCACGCTGGGTTCAGCAGGCACCAGTGTTTCCAGTACATAACAGGCCAGGATCCCTGCTGGGGTTGCCCACCCCCAGGAGGGCAGAGGTCACTCAGACTGTCCTGACTGCAGCATCTAGGAGCCCTGAGCATCACACTTTCCAGCCCCTGGGCATTCAGAGGCCTGGGAGCAAGGTCTGCTGCCCTTGAGTGCCCGGGGGCGACGAGGGGCTGAGGGTCCTACCTGTGTGTCCTGGTGACCGGCCGGGGCAGTGGAGCTGGACGTCTGAGGCTGTCCTAGGGCAGCTTGGTGCTGGCTCCACCCCCATGGCCAAAAATATCTCGTCCTTGTCACCAGGGATTCGTCAGGGTCAGGGTCCAGGCCACAAATAGATGGCATTTGGGGGCCTGCAGTATGTGAGGGACATCTTCCTGTGCAGGCCCAGGCTCGGTTGAGACCTTGGCCAGAGGACACTGACCAGGCACCCACAGCTTGGGGCCTGCTGTCCCCAGAGACCACTCCAGGAGTCCTTCCAGCCGAGGCCCACACCACCTCACCCCAGCCCCAGCTCCTGCTCAGCTCTGCAGACGGCTGCTGCCCTGGGCCTCGGGGAGGGGGCAGTTCTCGGTGTTGGCCACCCAGGCCTCTAGAGCACCTGTGTGTCATCACTCCAGTTGAGTGGGGTGAGCAGGGGTGGCACAGGTGGGTGGGGACGTTCAGGGCCAGGGGACACACCTCTAGGTAGATATCAAGCTGGGATGAGAGGTTGGCACACAGGTGCTGGAAGTATACATGGCAGACATTCCTGGTAATGAGCACGCAAGGGGCAGCTGGACCAGCAGGGGGCCCAGGACGGCCACCTGCACAACGGCCCCTGGGGAGCAGGCCAGCACCCCGCAGAGCAGCTCCTGACGGTTCAGCAGCAGAGGCTCCCAGCTGCCATAGCTGGACCAACAGTCAGATCAGTCCATCCCACACTTGCCCCAGGAGACCAGCTCAGCTGGCTGCTTGGCCAGGCCCAGAATCCCAGAACTAAACCCGCGGGTGAAGTGTCAGCTTCCCTCAATGACCCACGGACACTCCGTCTTTCACATGTTCACCTCTGTCCTCACGTGTTCACCTCTGCCCTCACGTGTTCACCTCTGCCATTCACGTGTTCACCTCTGCCCTCACGTGTTTACCTCTGCCCTCACGTGTTCACCTCTGCCCTCACGTGTTCATCTTTGCCCTTCATGTGTTCACCTCTGCCCTCACGTGTTCACTTCTGCCCTCACGTGTTCACCTCTGCCCTCACGTGTTCACTTCTGCCCTCACGTGTTCACCTCTGCCCTCACGTGTTCACCTCTGCCCTCACGTGCTCACTTCTGCCCTCACGTGTTCATCTTTGCCCTTCATGTGTTCACCTCTGCCCTCACGTGTTCAGCTCTGTCATTCACATGTTCACCTCTGCCCTTACGTGTTCACTTCTGCCCTCACGTGTTCATCTTTGCCCTTCATGTGTTCACCTCTGCCCTCACGTGTTCAGCTCTGTCATTCACATGTGTTCACCTCTGCCCTTACGTGTTCACTTCTGCCCTCACGTGTTCATCTTTGCCCTTCATGTGTTCACCTCTGCCCTCACGTGTTCACCTCTGCCATTCACATGTTCACCTCTGCCCTCATGTGTTCACCTCTGCCCTCACGTGTTCAGCTCTGTCATTCACATGTTCACCTCTGCCCTCACGTGTTCACCTCTGCCCTCACGTGTTCACCTCTGCCCTCACGTGTTCACCTCTGCCCTCATGTGTTCACCTCTGCCCTCACGTGTCCACTTCTGCCATTCACATGTTCACCTCTGCCCTCACGTGTTTAGCTCTGTCATTCACATGTTCACCTCTGCCCTTACATGTTCACTTCTGCCCTCACGTGTTCACCTCTGCCATTCACGTGTTCACCTCTGCCCTCACGTGTTCACCTCTGCCCTCACGTGTTTAGCTCTGTCATTCACATGTTCACCTCTGCCCTCATGTGTTCACCTCTGTCATTCATAATATTGCCCCAGTTTTTCACACAAATGCCAGTTTATCACACAAAGCACACAGTTGCTTTGTTAATGCGGGTTCTGTTTCTGATGTGCCGGTGCTGCAAACATGGCCACTCTGAGTGTTCTGGAACACTGATCACTTCCCCAGTGCTAAGTTGATCAAAGGTTTGGGCTTCTCTGACATCTAGTAGCGCAGCACTAATGGGCCAGGATGTGGCCCCTGTGCCGTGTGGCAGACCAGATGGACTCCTTGGTGTGTAGCCAACTGGGGAGTCACCAGCAGATGGAAGACCTCTTTGTCTCTTTCTTACTCTGTAAACATGTAACTCTGCTTTTCTAATACTTTTTTTTTAAAGGAATGGCCCATTCGTTTAAAAAAAAAAAAAGCACTAAATATAATTTTCTGCTGAAAAAGTGGGTTGCAATTTTCTTCTCTCTGTTCAGCATCCACTGTGCTGTGTGACAGCATCACCCACCTGGTCATGCCCAGCCTGACCTGTGTGAGGGACAGGAGGGGGAGCTGGGCCATACTACCTGGCCTGGGTCTCAGACAACACGGATAGGCGTGAGTCCACATCCATGTGGACTCGGTTAGATAGGAAGGCTGCGGGACTCTGACCTGAGGACCCCTGAGGGGAGATGCAGGGTCAGAGGCGTGGTGGGGGACTAGGGTGTGGGACAGAGCCAGGAGGGCAGGGACTGGGTCAGAGGGAGGAAGGGGTCGGCAGAGCATGGACCGTCCTAGGCTCTCCCACCCTGGAATTGGAGCCTCTGGGAAGGGTGACAGAAGAAGGGTGGCACTGTAGTTGGCGTCTGGGCCAGGTGAAACCTGGCTAACGGCACAGGTCAGGTGGATAGTGCTGGATAGACCACCACAGCTGGAAGGGTAGGAGCAGTGGCACTGCATTATTAAATGGCTGTTATTATATAAAGAGATTCCGTGGACACAGGCAACTAATACCACAGGGACCTCCCCATGTTCTCCTCCCTGTGCCCCTCCTCACTCATACCTCCTCTCTGAGTCCCTCCTCCATTGCCCCTCTTCCCTGCTGTCCCTCCTTCCTCACCCCTCCTCCCTTGCCCCTCCTTCCTGAACCCCCCCCCCCCTTGCCCACTCACCAGCACTGGAATCAATACCACTGGCCAAATGAGGAAAAGACGGTTTCCATCTACTGGATGATAGCATGTCCCAGGGTGGCCGTGTCCTTCTTGCGAGTGTCAATGTCCTCTCAGGTTGGCCATGTCTACATCCACCCAGTGTGGACATGTCCCTCCTGTTCACTTCTTTTCGTCTAACCCTCACCCTCCTGCAGGGTTTCAAGGCCGCACTGGCCAAGGAGAGCCTCACCCGCATTTCTTCTTGGAGGCACTAGAGGGCACCAGACTTTTATGAGCAACATCCCTTCAAGGCCTCCCCAGGAGGTCCAGGAGAGGGGGTTCTGGGTGCTGAGAGTTGCCATGTTGCTTCCTGAAGCCACGTTGACTGACAGCTGTCACACCTGAGGGCCAACTGCCAAAGGCCAGCTGTAGTGGCAGGCTGGGGTGGACGTGGTGTGACTGACATGCTCCCAGCCCGGGATCACCTGCACCCCCACCTCTCAGCGGCCTGACTGCCTGCCTTTGGAGTGCTGCATCTTCTGGAATTTCATTTCAAATTTACTTTAAGTTTCAAGATCTTCTACATTTAATTTTAATTTTAATTTTTGATGATTTTTACATATTTGATTATGATGCAAAGGGTCAATGACTACAAGAAAGTGGGTGAGACCACCATCTTCACATTCTCTCTCTCTCTCTCTCTTTTTTTTCTTTCCTTCTTGCATATGAGGGAAAGGGTGAAACAAGGAGAGAAGCCACACCCAGCCTCCCAACCTCCTCCATATCCTAGGATGGAAGACAGCCACCCAACGCCATTCCAGGGTCCCCGATGTGGGACATACTCAAGAGTCCTGCTCAAAAGGTTTTGATATTTCGACAGTTCTGAATTGCTGCCAATCTTGCCACTCCAAGCATGACGAAAGTTTTCCAGAATCCTTTGGTTGACAGAGTTCACCTTAGAATCTCTGCCCAGATATTCACTGTCCACACTTGGCCAGAGTACTGGATCATTCTGTTCTGTCCTCCGTCCTGTTGCAGGACCAGGTGTACTCTGCGGGCTCCATGTATTGCCACATCCTCCACGTGCATCTGGATATGCTATCTAGCCATGCCTGCCCCTAGTCCTGGTTCACAGGCTCGCCAATCAGAGTGGCAGCCCCACCTGGCCCAACCCACACTCCATTCTGGTGCTCAGATTTAACAGCGAGTAATATGAACTGGCCCAGCCTGGTGTGCCCCCAACCTGAGCCAAATGTATGCTGGTGGGTACTATTACCTGGCCTGCGGGCTGCTCCCTATTGTGGTTCTTGCACTCACCTGCAGGGACTGTGTCTCAACACAGGCGTTCCCCAAGTTCCTCCATCAGAACCTCTCCCAATGCCAGATTTCGTGCACACCGGTAGGTCCATGGGCCTGCCCTACTAAGTCTACCTCCTATCCTAGCAGGAACAGTGGCCTTTCCTGACTGGCCCTCACTCATTCCGGTTTTTAC